GGAATTGAAAAAGTTATGAGTATTTTCAGAAATCAAAAGTGTCTCTAAACACTAATGAGCCAAATTTCAGTGCTTGTTACAGGTTGTAATTGGATGATTGTGAAGGTTTATTGTTAGTACACTTATCAATATGGACTGTAAAAATACGGAAAAATATGGAGAGTGAAGCTCTCACCGCAGGGAACAAGATGCATATTTTTATTTATTTGTTGCCCTTCTCCTGGCCTCTCAATATTTTTGTGTATCAATAATTTAATTTTCTGCCCAGAAAACATTATATTTCTTGTAGTGTCAATTCATTATAATTCCCAACAACTTCAAAACCCGTGTGAGGTCAGCAAATTCTTCACCCAGGTCTACACCCTCCCTCATCCATAACCTACTGGACACAAGGTGTTCAATGGTCTGAGCAATTAAGGAACCACGGCTGCAGGAGCAGACATCTGAGGCACAGGAGAACATGCGCTCAGGGGCACATGAGGAACCTGATGCGGCAAGATAGTCTCTTGCCATGATAGCTAGGATCCTATAGCCTTTTTCATGAGTCTACGCATAGCATATTAAACGATGTTGAGTCAGTAGGTTTTTCAAAGCAAAAGGAAAAGATGAATATTCAAAAGTAAGAGTCACCTTCCACAATTCGAGCCCGCCTGCAGGAATCTGTAAATCATAGTCCTCAGCTCTCATTTTGTCAACTCACTGTAAATAGCTCTTGATTTGTACATCTTCAGGTTGTTGAACTTCATATTCATCTTTGGAGTCATCGCAAAATATATCGGGTCTTGGTGAGGACGTCTCAGTGCTTTGAGAGGTGTTGTTCTTCCGAGGCATTTGAGCTGATTTTCCATTGACAGGATGCTGCAATGCATACTCAAGGTGAAGTCGACGCAGTGTTGCTTCAGCATTCATGGTCACTGACGAGTCCTCGCCAAACCACTTGATGAAGAACTTCAAGCAGAAGAAGGGATGGAGAACTGTTGCCATAGTAAGAGTCTCACAACCCAGTGCTTCATTCAAGTACTCAATGGTCTTCTCCTTCATCTTGGCAAGCATTGGGTAGAGTGCGTCGGTGGTACTAAGCGGTTTGATTTCCTTTTTGAGCGAGTTGCGGATCTTGACATACTTTGGGATGACCATGCAACCTGTAGGTCCATCCCCTTCCATGGCGAGTGTGGTCTTGAGGAATGGCTTGGGACAATTGACAGGGAATGGTCAATTTTAACTGAGTGCGAAAACAAAGTGATCATAGAATATTAACGCAAAATAAAGAACATACCTCCATCTCAATGTTGATCTTGCGGACTTGAGCCCATTCAGATGTAGTCATTTCAAGCTCATGGAAGTATCCATAGGGCTTTTTGTTCTTGCGCACTGGTCGATTTCTGGTATGGACCAGCTTTAAATCGTTTTGACAAAGCTCATCAATCACCTAGAAAGCAGTAAAACTATGATACGTAAATCATGACAATCATAAAGTAAAGAAACAGAGAAGGCAAATGGTTCTTACCAATCTTGCCAGCCAGGCTTTATGCCGGCTTTGATATTTGATGTTCCATCTAATACCATAGCCAGCAATCAACGAACCTTTGAATTCCTTTTGGGCAGCGACTCGTCTGAACTCGTTACGCCAGGCCGCTGACCGAGTAATACGGCGTGTGATGAAGTCAAGCTGTATATAATTGGCCATGGAGAGAGCACATATTTAAATCAAAAATATTAGTGAATAATACAAAAAGTATTATATGAGGGAGAGAGAAAAACACATACCTTGCGTAAGATGAAATCAAGATTGTTGGCTTGTCGATGGTGGGTTGGTTGGGCTTGAACTTCACTCACTGTTGATAGTTCAGGGTACTTGTCTTCCTCCTCAGCATCGGCTGTGTTCTACTCGGCTTCATCATTTAGATCATGGACAACCTCAACAGTTTCTGGAGCAGTACCATTGGTGTCAAGGTCCTGTGGATCATGCTCAGGATCTTCAGCTTTGGGTGAGTTCTGGTCATCCTCTCCAGCTTCCTTGATGATGGTTCCAATCAAAGGAGATTGTCCTCAACCCGCTTCCTTGGCCATGATGGGAGGAGGCGCTGTAATGCCAAGCGCAGCCACACCTGCGTTGACAATCAAGACCAGTTTGTGGCAAAAACAAAAGATATGCATCTTTTTGGGGGTCCCACGTGTATGACGGATCATTCAGCTTGGAGAATTGATGATTTATCTATTTAGCCATTGTCGTGTTGTTTGAACCTGAATCAGTGGTCTGGCAAAGCAAGTGAAACCCAAAATAAAAGGTGTTAATACATAGAAGAACGATTGAAAAAAATGATATAATGTTCCAAACAAAAACTCATCTTTTGAAAGAGACCACGTTTAACCAAAATATTAACCATTGGTTCAGCTAACCATGGCCCATGGTGGTGCCAGGTCACTACCTTCATAGTAAGATGTCAGACCCAATAGTTCCAGTTGTTGTCAACAAATGTTACTGATGCTCCGATGAAAGTGTGTTGATTTCCATTTGTTGTCCAGCCATTCACTACCAGCATAAAGTAATTTTCCTAAGTAAAAAATGAATACATTTAGAGTAAAAAATGATTGAAAATGCATTTGATCAGCATTAAATCAGCATTGAATCAGCATTATTCAGCATTAAATGAGCATTTTTGATTTAAAATGCATTAAATGTAATCATTTTTTCCTTGGGAAAATTACCTTTTGCTGGGAGTGATTGTGAATCAAGGTAATTTTTGATTTGAGAGCCTATGTTCATAAGAGTATTTAGTATTTGATTAACTCTGTACCTGATAATGTATGATAAAGTAGACATAAAATGAATCAATCACCTTTATTTCAGAAAAGACCAACTCTTTACGAGAGTTATTGACCTGCTTGGCTTCATTGGCAGCCCACCGACAACCGTGGAGATTCACGTTCTGTTGGAGGTAGCGCACCATGCCTTGAAGCAGCGGGTCTTCTAATCGACTCCATGGTTGAGCATGACAAATAAGCCATGCACAAGCCATCTGGTTTAGCGTCAGGTTGTTGAAGGTGACGTGGGTTGTGGCAACAACATAGGAATCCATGGGGCCAGTACCCTTTGCTGCTGCCTTTTGAGTTTTGGCCACAGAGAGTGGGACTTCAAGATTTGGTTCTTCGGCTTTGGCTTGGTTCCGTCCGCTGCACCCTACATCAGAGCGTCCGTCCGCGGTTGATCCGTCTTGGTGAACTCTGAGATTCCCGGTCATGTTAGTGTAGCTAACCCTGACAGGAAAGTCTTTGTTCCTGTGGCAGAAACGACATGGATACGCTAATGCAGGCTTGCTTGGATCCTATTCAAAATAGATGACAGAAAAAACAAACAAAGATAACACACCGAGGACGTGGGACATAGAACAGAAAGAAGAGCAGAAATAAATATAAATAGATGTGAAGCATGAATAATACACGCACGTCGCCGGGTTCATGGAACGGTTTATCGTAATAGCACCTGAGCTGGGTAAGATCACTTGGAGAGTTTTCAACCTTGCGCCTCTTGCCTTTAATAACAGCGTCCTGATTGTCCAAATCTGCTCGCAAGGTAGCTTGAGTGACGTTCTTGGAAACACCCTGGAAGGATAAGATAGTAACAGTGAGTGGAGAATCAGAACCAATTTAACAAAAAACATTGGGCTGACCTTGTTACTCCTTGAGCGATCCACTTGCTTTGTTGATTGTTTTTGCTTACCTTTCTTTTTTGCCGCTTTTGATTTTGAAGGGCGTTAGTCAGGATCAGTCGAGTCTTCTATCTCAATGTGAACTTCGTCACTGCGCTTTGGTTTTCTGGTGATGACGACGGACTCATCATCAGAATTGTCTGTTGATGATTGAGCCTTCCTCTTAGGTGGTTGGAAGGAGGAATCACGGTCGATAGAGACTCGTTGACGGGAATCAGGGGAGGGTGCTATCATCCCGGGGTTGTTTGTTTGTGTGCAAGTCCTTACTGGGCATTCTGAAGTCACAGATGACATGCTGATGATTGATTGAATTGCTAAGGGAGATAGATTTACGCAAGAATGTGAGGTGAAGTAGAAAGTTGGGAAGACAATGAAAAAAATTGAGAACGAGGTAGAAAGTTGGGAAGACAATGAAAAAGATTGGGAACAAGATGGACTGGAATCAATAATGAAATATGAAAGGAATATTTGGGGACAAGAGGGAACAAGAGCAAACTTGAGACACTTACCTGGGTATAAATATATCTGTTGGCGCTTGACCCCCTTCCCTGCATGTCATTGTGTTTGGAGGTGGTACGGTGACTACATTGGATAGTATGTGGTGAATGGTTGGCTGAATTGGGTCATCGAGATGGTGAAGGTAAGTGATCTTCTTGGTGAAAGGGCTTATCCCTGCTTGATTGGGAAATTTAGCCCCGCAACAGCCCCTAATGTTGCTGCCCCGGGTGCTACATCAGCTGTAACGCAGTGGTCCCTGAAAATTGGTAATTCCTGGGGATTGGTTGCGGTACTGTTATGAGAGCAACAAATAGCCGCAACACTTGCAGCGTGGCTGCTCACAAAACCAGCAACGCACCGCTCAGCAACAGCTTTGGGCAGCGTTGCTTACCCGGTGTTGATCAATGGCAGGTTTTCTGGTGAGTTCCGGATCTATAGACTTAAATAAATATTCTTCCCAACCATCTCCTTTCTTCAGCCTTAATTTGCCTATTCCTTACTCTACCAAATACTCTATACCCTATACTAACCTATACTCAGCCCTATACTAAACTATACCCAGCCCTAGACTTACCTCTACCAACTCGTTTGTTGCTTCTCTTCAGCCATAATTTCAATACCTCCACCCTACAGAGTGCGCTACACATTACACTCCCCCATACCCAGCCTGCTACATGCTCTCTTTGAACCTCTTCTTCCTCAATCGTTGCCGCATAGCACGTGCCACCTCTCCCCATCTACAGCCGACACACCGTAGCACACTCTACCTGGCTTGGCTCTCACAAGCAACCCATGGAAGACCTGGTGTACGCCTGGCCAAGTAACCCTGTTCAAATCTCCATTCTGGTCAGGCTACAACTTTTCCCCACGGAAGCGCTCCTACATCCTTACCACATGACCTTACAGCACTTTGTTTCCTAGCCTGGACCTACTAACCTACCCCGCATGATCAGTCTCCTTCTGCCTACACCACAAAATCTGCCGATGATGCACTCTCCTGTTGCAGCTCTCCCTGTATACTTAGACCAGGCGTCCAAGGGTCAATTCTGTCAACTAACCAACACATCGGCCATTTCAATGATAGTCCCTTCTCTAGGCTGAACTCAGATCTGGCAAACGTTGTCAATGCGCTACCGCCTTGGTAACTCCATTCTTTGTTCCTCCTCCAGACCAACCTTGCAGAGCTTCGGTATCAACTGTAAAGGCCATCAACGAACTGACCTAGTACCAATGACTGCTTTCATCCTTCATCTCTATCTGTACTTTCACTATCATATTAATCTGTTTACCGCTTTACATCGATTATCTCTTGGTCTCATCTACCATACACCTATACAAACTCAGCACAATCTCTCAGCATCCCAAGGCCATGTCTACTTCTAACATTCCCCTCAAGCAATCTTACGTCATCACAATCTTAGGTGTTGTCAAAACCGGTGCTCTGGTCAGTATCCTAGCACAATCTTTGTTCATTGTTTACTGACTCCGGCCTACAGCTCCCTCCATCGGACAGCCGTAACTATTCATATCGTGCATGTACCGTTGCTATCACCACAAAGGGGTGGAACTTAGATAATCACAAGGAATATGACAGTAAATGGACAGCTTACTGTTCCCCTCTCAAAGTACCCAACAAAGGCAAGTGCTTTGTTACCAAGGCTCGATTCCTGCCAGTCAAGGACACCGCCGACTTCAACAGGTACTACGAAGCAGATCATAAGATATTCGTTGGAACTAGCGAGACATTCACAGGTGTTCTCCATAACAATACTGCTCTCACCAGTCTTGGTATCATATCCAGTTGCAGAACCATCCGGGCCAATGACGACAGCAAGTCTGTACTTTGCTTTGTCATGAAACATATTGATTATCAGCCTCAGGTGAGCAATGATAATCGTTTTGGCGACCGACCTTCTTTTCCTAACATTATCTTGATTCCAATCTGCAGGCAGGCAAAAACCAATACTTTGAGATCAATTACAGAATCCGTCCAACGCAAAACATGGAACAAAGTCAAAAGCTGGTACAGGATGGAAGGGAAACTTTAATATCTGGCTTCATCATTGATTTTGATTCTGGGGCCAATAGATTCATCATCAAGGTTAGCATAAGCCACATTTGCCTCTTGCCGCCTTGGCTAATGACTCCATCTTCTCCTAGGTCACGTCTGTCAGTCCCTGCACAGGGAACAAAGGTAGTGGTGCCACAAAAACCGCTCCATCCGCCCATGTCACACCAGCAGGGTGTGTGAGGCCCGCAAACTGAGCCCCTCATGCTCTCTCCCTTTCCCTTTGCTGAAGCTTACTGTTCTCCATAGGCATGTTGCGACTCCAGTCACTCCCATGAACGCTGTCGCAGGTCCTTCTTCAGCGCCAGCTGCAACAACGTCCAACAAACGGAAAGCTGCAGCAGCTGAGGAGCCAATTCCCTTGCCACTCGCTGCTGGCCGGCAAACCCGCCCTGCTAAGTATGTCCGTGACTACTTCAACAGCCGCTTCCTACGGAAGCCCTGAGCAAGGGGGGTACGCCACTCCCAAAATCAAATCATCAATCGTAAATTACAGTGGGGTGTCCGCCACTTTACATATACACATAACACAAAACTACACACCTACTTTTGAAAATCATCTCAAACAATCATCACCACTCACTCTTCAAGACCTTCATCATCTCGCCGGATACACAGGACAGGCTTTGTTAAGCATCATTCTTAAAAAAGTAGAAGACTCAATTCGGTGCATTGGATGGACACCATGGACGCGTAAGCCTCCCAATTTCTCCCCTAAATTACCCAAATTCCCTTCGAAAATTGACTTGTATCCCTCATTCTCTAACAGTAGCTTTGTTATACCTCGAACTAGCCATGCCTCTTCCAATCTTTCAAACTGGACCGTGCCCTGGGTGCAGTGCTCTTTTCAAATTTCAAATCAAAGATGTGTGTGATGAATGTACTGATCTGGAGAACACCAAGGAAGGATTGCAAATTCCACGAAAGGATTACTGTGAGGGATGTGGTGATGGATACCGACGTTTGAAGGACAACATCTGTGGTCCTTGCCAAGGGTTATCTTCTAATTTATCGGCAGTTTCATCTCCGCTTTTGAATGTCAGACTTGGCTTGAATTCAAACAATCATCAAAGCCGACAAGCTAGCTCTTCTTGTTCTTCCCGCTCTCTGACAACACCTGATATATTAACCGAAATCGATGAACTTACTCCAAGTTCCTATAGTGAAGCGTCTCAAAGTCAAAAAATTGGTACAAAGATCCCTACTGCTGTCACCATTGGCCAGGAAAAACACAATTGACACAGCCTCATTAAAGCACCAACTAGCCTGACTTTACCAGATTCCCATTGGTCTCACTCATCGACTAGTCGTGGTCCAAGGGGCATCAATCATCCATCAAAGATACAATCAACAAACAATACTAAATCCATACCAATTGATTTTGTCTACCAGATTGATGGCAACCCAATGCCACACAATTTCACTGCTTTCACGGTCTCAGTGGATCTCAGCAATCGATCATGGTATTCGAACTTTGAGAAGGATGCATTTGAGTTCTTCCGTATGAAATCAGTCAATAAATTACCAAGCAAATTTCAATTAGATGATGGGTGTCCTGAGGTCCCAGAATTTGACGAGCAATGGGTATACTTAGGTCAGGTCCGAAATAAGAGGAGTGTTATTTTCTCTTTGGAACAGCATGTTGTCGAGCTGTTGGAGCGTCCACCACAACGGGGTGCTTTATTTTTTGTGATGTTTAACGCCGACGATTCTCTTCATGTCAAGCAATCAGAAAATGCAGCTTCCTACATACCCGACAAGAAGAAAAAGCGGCAATATGGTGGTGACTCAGAGGCATACTTGCCTTCTGATGATCTTTCTGATTCTTTGGCTGGAGAAACAACAAATCATCTTAGCATTCGCAAATCCAAACAATTACAATTACAATCTCCATCAGGAACCTGTGATGAATCACAGCTTCCTTCTCAAGGATCCAATGGTGGTGATCTCCCGGATATTGATGATTATCTTGATGGTGATTCCTCTTTCTCATTACCTATTATAATTACAAAGCTGACTAAACTGCATATTATACAGGTCCAACTGTCACCCCGACACAATTGAAGAGGCCTATCAAGGAGACACATAGTAAGTGAATGAAACTCCAATAGGTTATTGATTCAGCTATGGTATTGATACTTTTGGATATATAGAAGACCAAACACTCCAAGCAGTTACCTCTGAACCAGTCAACATACCCGAGAAACGCACTTGGGTGTCTGAAGTAGGAGGTAAGTCAAATTACATTCCCAGTAGTGTCTATCAGCTCAAGGCTGATTCAATTGCTTTACTTTAGTTTCGGATCCTACATTGAAACCAATACCACTTGCAATTTCAAAATCTTTGGAAGCTGCAGGTTGTTGCCCTGACGACACTTGACCGTGGTATTTAGGAATTGCAAAAACGTTAACTATCCTGCAGGAGTCAGAGGAATCTGATACTGCCTCTGTGGCTGAGGAGTTCAAAATTGGATGGATTTGCCTTGAAGACTTTGTTCAATTTAATGAAACCAAGTCCTCCTATGTGGGTGATGTGATGCTTGGGAGTGATTTATTCACAAACTTCCTCTTGAATCCTTACGGCGGCTCTACATATGGTTCTTCAATCAATTACGATCCAAGTGATCCAAACTATAGGATTTGTTTGAGTGCGGAGGTACAGAGATTGATTGTGAGCTTTCAAAAGAAGGTGATTGATAACTTGGGAATTTCACCTGATATGAGAGAAATGTGTCTTTCACTCCAAGTAAGTCCTAATAGTATATTTTATTGACATACTTCAACTAACTATTTACACCATTTGGTCAATTGCATACAGGTTGCTAAAACTCTCACCTTTACAACCGCTCATGAATGCAAGGAACATCCCAGGCTATTTTCATGTAGGGAACAAGGAGTTGGATAATTGGAATCTTACATGACTCCAACAGACTTTACACTAAAGAAACCGTACAAAAATCTGCACCAAATCATGCATGCTCTGGCCCATTCTAGTCATAATGATGGCAAAGCAATGGTAGTAGTGTTGGAATCTCAGGGAGGCTTAATTACTGATTTTTCAATGCTTAATTTGACATAAGTGCAGGTTTATAGCTAATAAAAACTTGCCGCACAGCAGTATACTGATGCTAAGCTTGGATTTTTTGCTTCAAGTTGGCCGTTGGAGAGTGAAAACCAAGGTGAAGCACGGATTCAAAATTTCAGTGCTAGCCATCACTGTTCACCTCTATGTGGTCTCCTTGGCCTCCATAAATGTGATGTACCATACGGAGAGCAGGGAAGCGTTGATGAGATTTAGCTGCAGTGGTTGGTTTTAATCCTAAACTTCTACAGAGTGTAGATAATGAAATGAAATTGAAAGTCATACTTGACACTTTGTGATCTACATGCAGTTGAGAGAAGTGGAGTGATTCTTGCTACATAACAAATGATTTGAGAAGCAAAACAAATGAAGGTAACAAATAAAATCAGATGAAAAGAAATTGAGATGAAAAAGAACTAGCTGCAGATCAGAGCCACTTCAGCCACTTCAAAACTGGTTGAGCCAGGCGCGCACATCTATGCCTTGGTCTTTGCTTTCCTGACATCAGACTGGCACCATTTTCCAGTTTTAACAAGACTGAGTACATGTCATTCTCCCTTTTCAAGAACGGTCTGCATTGCACAAATAAAGAAGCAGTCATTCTTTTTCTAGCTCAGTCTAATGATCAATATACATGAAATAAAGAAGCATTCATTTTTTTCAATCTCAGTCTAAAGATCCACATACAAAAAATTATTACTATGGCTTCCACTTCCTATTAGGAAGTTCCAATATATCATGGATAACTAATATATTTCACATTCCACAACACAAGTAATTTCATTTAAAAAGATAAAAGTAAGAAGAGGTCCTAGCAAACCAAATGAAAATCAAAGCAGGCAAAACACAATTGATCCTATTCAAACTGATTGAAGATAAAGTAAGAGTTCCTAGTGAACCAAAAAAAACATATGAAGGCAAAAGGTCCCAAGTGTGTAAAACCGTTCAATTTCTTTCTTGGAACCAATCTAAATCAATCTCATCTGAGTTCATTTTTTCATTTTTTATTCAATCAATCTAAATCACAAATTCTTATGTCTTTTTTTGCTTATCTGAGTTCTTTTTTTTCTTTTTTTCTACTTCATCCTCATATGATTTTACATGCATCTGGCAATATTTTAACCACTCTTTCTCTCCCATGGTTTCCTTTTTCTCAGAAAGGAACTGGATATGTTGTACCAAAGACTCCGAAATCTGACAGGAGGAACCATACCTGGTCACCTGACACAATTTGTGTTTTGTCACACTTCCATCCGGCTTGAAAGACTGCGACTCCGTGGTATAATGGAGAATCTATGGTTATCAAAAAGTTAGATTTGCCAACAAAAAACAACTCTCTTCACTCAGCTGGGTGAATAAAACTCACAGTCGTGTCCCAAATCATTTCTACCACTCCCTCACATAGGTAAAAAGGGACACATATTCCAAATTCCTCAACACAAAACGTAGAACCCTTTGAATTACCCAGATTCTTTTCTTTTGCCTTTTCATGAGGTCGGCCTGTCTTCCGATTTGCAAGGCAAAACATACCAAAACTATACCTTGTACGATCATGATCCAAATCAGCTTTGTTGTAGAATCCGTCGCAGGTGACTACTAGGTTTGATGCAAAGACCTTCCCATTTTGAGTATACTGCCATTTGACATCGTGAAATCCGGGGACATCGGCTTTGGAAGCCAAGTCCAGATTTGTTTGAAAGACAAACATCAAGAGTGAGCCAAAGCGCTCGGCCCAGAAGTCGCAAATCCGATGAAATTGTTCCATACACTCTTGATCACTTTGAATTCGCTCATCAGTGGCGGATCCGAAAGAGCTGATACTGTAAACACCTGAAGATATTCAGCAAGAATAAGCATCTGAGTGACTCGAGCAGATCCTAGAGAGAGAAACAATCACACCTGCTGATTTACATTTTTCACAACCTCCTCTCAACCCACAGCACCCCGTAAAACCAGTGTAACTTTCATCATCCTTGATACCTTGAATTGAATTATGCAATTCACAATTTTTGCGGGCACAGGCATGAAGGTTAGTAGTTGATATTGAGTGAGCAAACTTCTCTTTCAACTCATCCTCCATTACAGCAAATGGGTTACATCAGACAATTACTACATTTAGGGTCTTCTTATCCACAACAACCACAGTTCCTTCTTTGATGTGGATTGGTTTGTAAGGTCCAAGATCTGGTCAATCCTTCAAGCTATACCGGAAAATAAAGACAGTGTCGGAAGGAAGCCCTAGCTCCCTAGCAAGTTTAGATTTGAGAGTGGTTGTATTGATGTGTTTACACGGGAGAGGACGTCCAATATGTAACTCCTTTCTATACCTAGCCTTCCCTTCAATATAGCATTTTGATGTTTTAGATTTCCGATTTGGTACTTTAATACCGGCTGCTTTTTTTGCGCTTTCAGATCTTGCACGTGCCATTCTGAGGATTACAAGTGATATTATTGTTAGAGAATAATATCACTTGAGCATCAAGGGATATACTTACCTAGAAAGTGACTCCAATAGACTGAGTCCAAAAGCAAAGAAAGTTCCACGAGAACCAAGAGCGAGGACCGCAAGATCCTAAAGAAGTAAAGATCACAAAACAATTGTAAGCAAGCTTGATAATTAAACAGAGCAAATCAACACAAAGAGCAGTGAGAAAAACTTACAATTGATAAAGTAACTTCTAACACAACCAATTAAACCAAACAAGCAAAAACTTCCCAGCAGAGAACAAGACGCCGAAGCGTAGAACAGAGTCAAACAAACAGGGTCAAGCAAAGCAACTGGGACGCGATTGAAAAGAATGATTGATATGTAAAAGAGGGTTGTGGTTCGAGTAGGAACACACAAAAACTTCCCAGCAGAACGCGAGACCCCGAATCGTAGAACGGAGTCAAACAAACAGGGTCAAGCAAAGCAACTGGGAAGGGATTGAATCGATTGGTTGAAACATAAAAGAGGGCGTGGTTCCAGTAGATATCAATTGATCAAGTCGATCAAGTCAATTGAATGGGTTGTGATCTACAGTGACATATTGTAAGAAAAATCTATAATCAATTAGAAGGAAGCTTCTGATATAACACAAGTTAGACAACATAGTTACCAATTGATTGATCGATTAGAATTAGTGGGTTGTGATTGAGCAGATCGAGACAATAAATCAAAAGCAGGTTTTTAAGATGTAAAGCGCAAGTTAGATCGAGTGTTTGATCAGATTGAGAGGGTTGTGATAGAGCAATTCGAGAAAATCAATCAAAAGGAGGTGATCAATTAGAATGATAGGGTTGTGATTGAGCAAATCGAGAGTAGTTACCAATTGATTGATTGATTAGAATCATAGGGTTGTGTTTGAGCAAATTGAGAGTAGTTACCGAGAGATTGATCGATTAGAATGAGTGGGTTGTGATTGAGAAAATCAAGAAAATCAATCAAAAGGAGCTTTTTAAGATGTAAAACGCAAGGTGGACAATATGTGATTGATACCCGAGATGACCCTGACAATGTATCTCGCTTTGTACGTAATCAAATAGATCCTGAGAGGTATAAATCTAGCTACAAGAGATAGATCATCGCAATAAGTAATCCGGCGTGAATTCTTAAAAGCAGAAAGCTGTAAGACTTACATCACTCAATCTAGATTGCTTGAGGAAAACCAATGTGGCTGATGAGTTGAGCAGTGGTTATTTAAAGATCAGTACAAATGTGTGAAGATTAAAAAACTTTGCTGAAGTGGAACAAGAATGTTTGAGACAATCAGCAGAATAGCAAGTAGGGCAAGATGGGCATTGAGGGCAGACCAAAATCAAGCGTTCCCAAGGTTAGGTTTGGTTGGGGCTGCTTAGGTCTGATTAATGGTTAAGGCACCTAGCTGCAGGTCAGGGTAAGGGGGTCTGTATAAGTATCACGGTGTCAAGAGAAGCCACGATGAGTGCTCCAGGAGAGATAAAATAATGAAGATGGGGTATATTGGAATTCTTTTTATAATGAACCATGTGCGCCTTGCAAAACTGCATATAACTCACTATACAACCTTGGACAAAAGATGGCATCTTTGAGTTGGTTGGGACAGATTTGCACTTGAGCAGGCAACATAGGTTCAAATGCACACAATGGAAAACACATCACTCAAACTATTGGTCTTATAAGTTTTGAGACAACTGAGTATTATTGATTGAGTTGGATCTTCTACTGATTGGACTAAACTAATTTTCCATTTGTTAAACACTTAGGATATTGGACCGTATAAATGTATAAATGAAATTGACAAAAAGCCCTTTCTCCATCAGTTCTCGCATTATTCCACACCATCATCATCACTTTTGTCTATAAATTTGTATTCACTTTTGAGCAAAGTTTCCAATTCTTCATCTTCTTCATCTTCAATTTCTTCAATTTCTTCATTGTCTTCATCTTCATATTTGTGATTTTGAGAATTGTTTGCTGATTTTAAATCATCAAGGTTCAGGTCCTGCTCTTTCAAAATTTGATGCATTGCTTCGAGGAGATCCCACACAGAGTTGATATTGAGTGTGTCTACATTCCAACCTAGTTGAGATATCAAATTGTTGAACAGAGTACTGAGTGGTTCGGCTGTTACCACAGACAGTTCATCCCTGTCAGGATAGTACTTATCAAGCATTGCCTGTACAACATTGGCCGGAACAGGGGTAATGCCTTCTTCTCCATTGTAATCTTCAGGGACAAAATAGCATACATCGGGTGCTACACCATTCGGAAGGGCAGAGTTACGGTTCTTGTGTGTCCGGTGAGAATTCTTTTCTTCAACATACTCATCCATCATACACTGGACTAGTGGGATGAATAAATGTAGAAAAGTTGACCTGTCAGAGAATTAAGGTTAACTGATAGTGGAGAGGGAGATACTCATATAGAAAGTGAAATGACTTACTCTTGAAGTGGATCACTTGGGTTGTAGCGCCCTTCATCTACTGCCTTTTTGATATTTTTACGAATTGAGATGTTTTTTGCACGCATCAATTGTGACCAGAGTGATTCAATCTTTTGATTAAATGTTGATTTAGTAAAGATGTGTCTTTTTCTAGCTTCATCTGCATCATCTTGGTGGAAAACTCTAGCAAACGTCATTTGATGAGTGGCCATATTTAATGTTTCAGTCTCATGGTCGGTGGATGTTTGTTTTGGAAAGCCTCCACATGCTGCAACAGTTTCAAGAAATTGAACCCCAATGCGTTGAGGATTGTTGTTGTTCTTACCAATCTTCAAGCTAAGCATTCGACAAGACCAGGTGTCAATGATACCATACATAGTAATCCCGTAACGTTTAAGTTTGTCATGTCCATCGGATGCCCATATGTGATTGGGGTGACGCACACGGTAGACTCGTCGCTTCAATCGATGCCTTTTACGCAAAGCCACCCCATCAGCATCAACAACAGAAAGGAGTTTGGCCACAGTGTTTTGATTGGGCCGGACGGATTCAGCGGTTGCCATGATGTGAGCCATACGACGTGATCCTGCATTTTCATCGCCAGCTTGTTTCCTTTCAATCATCTTTCTTGCTGCTTCCTCAGCTGTAATAAGACCCAGCTCTATATCATCTTTACGCCAATGCAATCCTATTTGTTTTGATAATGATTTGAGCATTGTCATTGTAAATAAAGGAAACTTGTGACGGTTTTGTATAACTTGAACCACTTCTTTTTGTTGCCATCGTTTGGTATGATATTCCTTCATGAGAGTGGCACACTGATCTTTGTCGGCTTGACTGAGGCTAGGTTGAGCAGTACTCAGCTTAAGTCGCTGGAGATGTCTTTGAAGGCTACAAAGAGACAGATTTTCGTAAGTAGATTGCTGACAAAGGAGGTCTAGTAGTTGTTTCTGGGTGAGTTTGTGTTGAGAGTGTTTGATCAAGAGTTCATCGAGTCCTGGGTCCAAGGGCATACTGATGATGAAGAATCTACTGGCGGTTGTAATGATCAAATCAGTTTGTAGCATTCATCAAGAGATGTGGAATGAGAACTTACTTGTATATATACACGCAGTTGTGTGTAAGGGGGTTGGTGTTGAAGGGGGATGGTATACCGTACACTGACGAAAGTGTAATCTTGAGACTGACAAAATTGATCTTGATGCCAATGAAAGGGCTCAGTGGGTGTTGATGATTGTTTGAGTTGATTTTCAAAAGTAGGTGTGTAGTTTTGTGTTATGTGTATATGTAAAGTGGCGGACACCCCACTGTAATTTATGATTGATAATTTGATTTTGGGAGTGGCGGACCCCCCCCACGCTCAGGGCTTCCGTAGCTTCCACCTACTGACACATCTTTCCAGGCATCTACCGAAACCACCTCCAACAACTCCCAAAATTTCACGCACGCAAGGCAAGGGCAAAGCCAAAGAGTTTGCCCCCGTTGATCTCCCCCTTGACTTGCCTTCGCCAGATGCTGACCTGTCCGACCCGGAAACAACCATTGCCCAAACGGCAACGGTTGTCAAGCAAACGCCAGCCAAGGAGGCACCGGTGGTCAAAGCCAAAAAGAGCAAGGCATTGACTAAGGCGGTCATTGTTCCAGACGAGCTTGAACAAGAAGATGAAGACATTGCCGAGGAAGATAGTGATTGGGAGATGGAAGATTGACTTATGCATTGCTTTGTACTTGGATCGTGACCGTAGACTTCAATGCCTTTTCCTTTCTTCTTTTGTTCATAGAGTGCATAGTGTATATACCCATTGATGAGTTTGTATCAAATGTCTATAGACTGTTAATAATCCACCTCCATGTGATCCCGTGCCAATGCGTCTTTAGGTAGCCATACAATAAACAAGTCCCATTCAAAATTAATAATTCACTACCTTATCCTGTGACAAGGCCCGTGAGGTAGACAAAGTGTAGCCACACTCAATTCAAAACTGGCCTGTAAGAATTGTTCCTAGCGTCATTTCTCCTTGAGCTGAGCCTCTTGCCATCCCTTGCCATTGGCAATCTTTTTATACACTTAATATATCCCTCTCCAGGCCCCTCTGTTGCTTTGTTCTCCCTTTTCACATTCTATACTCTGTTTGACAACATCATTTGTCTTTGCAAACAGGAACACCCACAACTTTACATCTTACTTACGCCAACTTCGCCTAATAAATTCACCCGCTCCATGTCTGCACATCACCACCTCGCTGTCACTTCTACCGTAATCCTCCCTATTATCCTCAGCATCAACATTATCCCATTCAAGACTCGACCTGTGAAAGTACCCCTGTGTCATTAAACTTTCAGTCTTCATGGTTAATCACCATCCCGCCGTGCGCAATGCAGAAGAGAACACTGAGGCAGCCATCAAGGCGTGGTTTGGAGCAGAATTGCCCTACAACATCGGCACCTGCGACGACCCGTGCTCCTACTGCGGTGCACTCCACTGGAAATTGGAACGCCAAAGCGGCACTCTCACAGCTGAAACAACACAATACGCCGCCTGCTGCCAGGAGGGTACGGTCAAGCTGCCCAGTACTACCCATGAGAATGAACTCACACCCAAATTTTTAAAGTGCCTTCTCTCTGACCAGGACCGAGGTAAGAACTTTGCTTCTCTAAATTTGCCCTTTGCTGACTTACCCCTCCAGCGTCCAAGAACTTTAGAAAGGAAATTTGCCGCTATAACAACGCCCTCTCCTTTGCCTCTACAGGTACCAAGCAAGACGTTTCTGTAGCTGGTAATGGTGGCTCCTGGACTTACAAGATCACCGGTCGCCTCACGCACAAAATTGGTTCCCTTTTGCCGACCCTGGGTGTGCCAAAGAAGTTTGCACAAATCTTCATGTATGGTGATCAAGGCGAAGATGAAGCAATGGACCAAAACGCCCGGGCTGGAGGTGGCCTCGAGCCAGGGATCATCAAACTTTTCCAAGACTTTCTTTATCACCACAACTCATTTGCCAAATTGTACAAGTCTGCTGAGCAAATCCTTGATGGAGCTGCTATTAAGACAATCAAGATCAAATCAATGGCATTGAATGGTCAGGACCCAAATTGCTACAACTTCCCAACATGCAATGAGGCCACAGCTGTCATTGAAGGCAATGGTAAGATAGAATCAAAAGACCACAATATCATTCTACTACGCCACAATGGCTCATTACGACGGATTTGCAAGCTGAACACCAACTATTTCTCCCTGAGGTATCCCATCTTCTGCATGTTTGGGTCACACGGGTGGGACGAGCATTACCGGCACATGAATAACAAACGTACACCTTTACATATGCAATCTTAGGGCGCACTGTGCTGACATTGAGCTTAACAGGCGAGAGCGGAAAAGTGTCCAATCTTGAATGGGCCGCCTACACCCTCTGCACCCAAACTGGTGTCTTCTCACCCATCTTACGAGGTGGTCGCCTGTTGCAAGAGTACATTGTAGACATGTATGTAAGTGTCGAAAACACTTGGATGAAGTACTTCAAGATGAACCAGACACGAATTTGTGCTGAGCTTTACAAAGGTGCAACCAAAGCTCTGACCAACAACAATATGACCGTTGGCAAACACATTATACTACCCTCACAGTGACATTTTACTAGGCACTGGCAGGCCAGTGAGTACAACCAGTTCAATCCAATTTCAATCCAATTAAGATTCAATTCAAGTTCAATTCCAGTTTGATATCAATCCAATCTCAATGTATGAGCTGGAGGAACAGACAAACAGTCTTCCAAATTGAACTGAAATAAAGTTTAGCTGCAAGTCCACTCATGAAGTTGGCAGAAGATCCAGAAGTTCTGAGTAATTTTCAGATAGAACACAATTATTATGCCCAAATATACTTCTCAAAACCTTCCGAAGCCTTCTCCTGCAAAACACAAGTTAACGTATGAAGGATATGACTCATTGACCAACATGAGAACTCCCTGAGTAGCATTTCAACAAAGATCACATGAAAAACAAATGTGTTGAGGGTTACAAAAGCCTTTATGGTTGAGAGTCCCCAACTCATTCAACTACCAAGTACCAAGGATAGGCAAGATGTTCAATCTGGCTATTGAAAAGATACATGAAGTGTTAATTGTTTTTTTGATTGCAAATTCATATGTATATATGTCATGATTCTTTTTTGGGAAGTGGTTTTTCATATAATCACAAATATCACCATTATATTAAACAGATAACAATAGGAAGACAAAAAAGGTGTGATGAGGTGGTTGCTGTTGGTTTTGTGATTTGAATTAACCCATTGATTTATATTTAAATTGTTTTATTTGGGATTATATTGATTGATTCAATTGAGATAGTTTTTTATTTTGACTTTATTGTTTTGTTTAGAAATAGCATTTTTATGTACTGATATGATTTTGGGTCTTTCCGTGGTATGGTACAGTTATTTTTCAGGAAAGATATGTTTTTTACTTTGGAAAATAGTGATTTTCCCAGGGAAACATGATAATTTAGATTTTCAAAACCATCATATATGTATATGGTCAAGAGGTCTGCTCAAGTCTGAAATCTAAAAAACTGAAGTGTATTCAATTGTGAAGACAGCCAGATCCAACAGGACAATCGGGGCAAACCCCCAAAATTATTGTTGGGCGGGCCCGCCAAGTTGCGTCTTGGCGACCCCCTAATTTTGACTCTCTCTGACATCTAGCAAGCTGATGATCGGTCTTGGTCTTGACAATCTCAACACCTCGCCTCAATTCAACTTAACTTTGACACCTATCTCATTCTTCTGGTTTTTCAATATTGATGATCTTGCTATGTTGGTTGTTTAGTTCATCAACTGTGTGGTTCTCATCTTCAGCTATGTTGACAGAATGTGTAAGTACATTAATGTCCTTTCTGGTACTCCTTTTCATTTTTTGATTTTCTTGTTTGTCTGTATTACTTATCAACTAATGATTGATTTTGGTGATTCTCAATGATCTGGTTTGATATGATAGCTTAGATGCGAGCTTAGAATCAATATATACCTTATGTGAGTAACTTGCTCTCTGAACTCTCTGGTCTACTTTGGCTTGTACTGATTGACTTCATCATGAAATCTCTTTGGTTCTGGTGAGCAAACCTGATTAGTTTGTTTTCTCTTGACATATGTTCTAACTTCTTACTTCCTTCAATCTTTGGCTCTTTTAAATTGTGACCGGTTTGTTCTGTCAAGGTTAGAGGTTAGACAAAATGTAAGTCAAATAAATCAAGTCAATTTACAAAGTTTCACAACAGTTTTGCTTTCTAACATGCTAATTTTGAGCTTTTTTGCATCTTTTCTTGGAAAATGTACAAATCGGATGTACCAAATTAGGTTGAAGAGATTGCTCCACCTCAGTTTCAAACAAACTCAGCTTGGTCCATTGAAAAGGTCTTTTAACTTGTCTACAGCTACATTGAATTATACTTTTTTGTAAACACTTCTTTCTAGTGAAGACTTGCTCAAATTTCAATGCTTTATATTCAGGTAATATAAGATTCAAGGATTGAAAAGTATAGATGGGCAGATGCAGAGAGTCCACATTGAGCTAAAACAAGAAATAGGAAGGTATTTAACCTCCACCATACTGATCAACCCAGTCCTGGCTAAGTGACCTCTAGCTCACTTCCAAATTTGACACAAAAACACCCTCAGGTGCTTGTAACATGGTTTGTGAGGAATAGCTCAATAGACAGTCAGACTCACACAGATTGTCCAAATGAGCTCACAACACTGGAGCAACTTGGCAGTAAATTTGTGACAAACTTTTTATTTACATGGTCATCTTTTAGATGCAATTAAATCTTTATCAAGACTTTAATAGATTATTTCTTTCTCTTTGTTCATATGATGTAATTTACCTTCTTTTACAAACAAAGAAACAGATTTTGATTTTATTCCAAGCTTAAGAATTAAATGAAGCAAAAGAAAAAAATGAAATCATGTGTACATATACAAAGACAGAGGAATTGTATCAAAACTTTAAACTTAGGTGGGAAAGGTTTTGCACTTCTTGGCATAAGTAAACCACTTGGTTTCTTTAAATCCAATGTTGAAGTCAATGATGTAACAGGAATAGAATCTGGACTTGGATTAGAAGTTGCATTCTTTCTCAAAACATTTTCATTCTTTTATTGCCACAAGATATTTAAGATTCTTGTGCATGACCTGTATTGAGTTGGAGCTGTTCATCAATTCCATCTGTTGTCCAAGATCCATTCTCAAAATGTCACAAACAAAGCATTTGAAGATTTTAGGATCCCCCAAAGTGAGAGAAAATGAATCACTTGTATTACTTTTGATCTTCAGCTTTTGTTTCCACAACTCTGTTCATCAGAATTTTTAATGGTCATGTGTCCTGGATCCCATCAAGCTACACTTTCGTCACATGGCTTGTGATTGAACTGGACATATCCAGAAAGTGTGTATGGTGAGCATGAAAGGATACCTCATGAGCTCAAACTTTACTGCATCGGAGGTTTTCAGAATGCAATATTCCATACTGAGAAATTAAAAAGAAAGCACCGGAAGATCTGGGAGGATCATTTGCATCTTCACCTGTACTATTGAACTAGTTTCATGCGGATCTGCCAGTATATGCAGCTCATGCATATCCCCCACTTGTACTGAATTTGTAGTCGGTTTGAAGTTGAACTTGAATTGAATCTGAATTGGATTTGAATTGGATTGAGGTGAATTGTACTCACTGGCCTGCCAGCGCCTAGTAAAATGTCACTGTGCCTCATCCTTTATCGGCGGACCTAGAGCAATGCACAAACTGTATCACGATGCTATGGCTTTAGTCAAGGCTTACGGTCCTCCTTCCTTCTTTGTTACTATGACAGCCAACCCAAAATGGCCCAAAATTACTGCTGCGCTTTTACCTGGCCAAACCTTGGATGACCAACCAGACTTGGTTGCATGTGTCTTCAAACTCAAACTCCGAGAACTGCATGAGGACTTATTCGAACGGGATAGACTCGGCAAGAACGTTTCTTATGTTCATACTGTTGAGTTCCAAAAGCAAGGAAACTCACACAATCATGCAGTTTTAATAAACAACGCCCTATCTGCCCGCGAACGCCTGCAGCAATAGATTTGGCCGTCTCAGCAGTACTTCCGCACCCCGAACAGTCACCAGATTTGTTTGAACACGTCACTCAGTACATGCTGCATGGGCCACGCTACGAAGGTAAGGCCTGCTGGAATGGATTCAAGTGCAAATATGGCTACCCAAAGGATTTCACACCGGAGACAGCCATCACTGGAAAAGCATATCCCAGCTATAAGCGGCCTGATGACGGTAGGTTTTTTGTCAAAAACGGGTACCGGTACACCAATCAAGACGTTCTCCCGTACAATCCCTTTCTACTTCTCAAATTTCAATGCCACATCAATGCGGAAGTCACACTCGGAACAAAGTCCATCAAATATCTCTACAAATACATCTCCAAGAGTCATGATTGCAGTGTGGTTAGCCTTGAGGTTGAGAACGACCCAAATGATTTCGTTGACGGGCGAACTCTAGCCTCCCCTGAAGGCGAGCTATTGTATTCATTGCAATCGCAGTTCAACATGCTGACAAAGGCCGTCCAGCAATTTGTCAACTATACAAGTATGCACTCTCAGGTTGTTACCCCTCCATTACCAGGCTAATGCTTCACCTGCCAAATTCACAACTCGTGTACTCCCAGAACACAAGTAGTCTGAGAAATCAACTCAATTCCGGTCAGGCTCAACAAACAACCCTTGCTGTGTTCTTTGCTACTTGCAGTGCTGGAGGAATCGTAGCAAAAACAAATGTCCCAGTTTGATCCTTGCTTTACGGGGATATGCCGACCTATCATTGGTGGGACAAAGGCAAGAAGGCGTGGATACAGAGACTCAACAATACCATTGCTGTGTCCCGTCTGCACTTTGTCTCACCGTCTCAAGGTGAAAGGTACTACCTTCGACTTCTTTTGACAACAGTCAAAGGGCCTACTTGTTTTGATTTCTTGAAGACGGTCAACGGTCAACTTCATCGCACGTTCAGAAGCGCTGCGGACACCTTGGGCCTCTTGCTATCAGATACCCACTTCAACGCCTGCCTCACTGAAGCTGCTTCCTGGAAAACAGGCAGACAATTGTGAGAAATGTTTGGCCTCATACTAGTCCACAGTCCACCTGCCAATCCGGTCAGGCTTTGGGAGGACCACATGGACGGTCTTTGCAACAACTGTGAATACCAACTCGCACTGGTTTTGCCTAACTTAAGACCAACATCTGCACAGATTTACAACTACGGACTAAAACAAAACTGTGGATCAGATCAATGAGCATATCCTTGAGCAGCTGCTTGGCCGGTGTCAACAATACAAGTCAGTTGACACAATGAAAGCTGATTGGGCGGAGCAAGTCAGCATCGACATCCTCAACTCCTTCAACTTCTCTGGTTTTCCACAACATGACCTGCAATTGAAGGTGGGATGTGTAGTGGTTCTGCTTCAAAATCTACATCTACAACAAGGACTTTGCAATGGAACCCGCTTACTAATCCTGGCTTTGTCAGATAATGTGTTGTACTGCTTGATCATTAACAGCCCAAAGAAAGGTGTAGAGGTCTTTTTGCCCCGTATAACGCTACAACACCCAGGCAACGCAACGGTGCCAATAGCCTTCCACCATTCCCAATTTCCAGTAACAAGCCTTTGCCATGACCGTCAACAAGTCACAAGGTCAGATGGTTGAGAGAGTCGTCTTGGTCTTACCTACACCTGTATTTGCTCACGGTCAACTCTATGTGGGTTTATCAAGGTGCACCTTGGCCAAGCATACGGCTGTATTGCTGGCTAGTGACCACGAGGCCGAAACGGTCAACGTTGTCTTGAAGAGCGCCATTCAGTAGGGTGAGTTGAAGGTTGATTTCATTCTGCTCTTGCTGCTTTCCCTGCAAACATTTATTTGATGCTCATCCTCTCAAGTGTGATGTACTTTGGAATAAGCAGCTTTCGCCAAGCCGAGTAGTCTATGTTTGTTATGGGACTGTCTGCTTAGTAGCTACAAGCTCTTCACGTGTCTGTTACAAACATTACGGTTGCTTTGGTATTTACGTGAAATGTGATTGGTCCATTGTGTTTACCTTGAATGACAAGCTTTATGACTGGCCAGATAGCTTCTCACAGTCATGACAAGTCTGCGTGAGCAGTTTGAAGGCAAAAGAATAAGAGAGTGGCTCAAAATGTGAAGAGAAAACTACAAAGTGTACATGCAATTGAATTGAATAACTAAGTCACAGGCTCCCCATGCATTATTGAGCCGTGTTTGCCCTGCTGAAACAAGGCACTTCACTGAATTTCTCCCATGAAATAGCACCGAGAGTTACACTACTGATGGAGAGCTGCCCCAGAGCACAACCAAACATTGAGTGGTCATTGGTTCACCCAAAAAGCGCAGGAGCGAGCACAAGCAACCATGGTTAAGTCTTTGTGGCTAATCTGCAGTGGAAGCACGACATTTGCGAGAATGTGGGGGCGGCATAGCCGTCGCTTTGACATCTGCCCCTCGGAGCTATTTGAAGTCAGTTTGGGGTGTAGGGCTACTATGGCACGACGGACATACCTCTACCACCCAGTATCAAGATCTGTGTACATAGCCGGCGACCACACCATGTCAATTCACTACATTGCCATTGTTGAACACAGCCTCTCCCACTGTTTCTACAAGCTCAGGGGTTGCTTTGTACGCAACGTTGGAGTGTGCAGCACGGCCGAGCTGCAGAGTAGTCAGTGAGGTTGCCAATAGATATGAAGGGGTCCACTTACACTGTCATCCCAGAGGTTGTGCAAGGCAATAATGATCCAGCGGTCATAGCCGCACTCAGTAACAGTACGGCGATCAAAGCGCGTGATATGGCCTCGGCCACATACGGCAACAGTTGGAAGAGGAGCTGGCAATTCAGCTGTGTAATGGTCCAGCGCAACACGGGAACCGGGATTGACAAGGACAATTGTGTCCTGTAAACAACTTCTTCCGAGTAGTTGTCCAGTCAACCGTACAGCATGGTCAGTGCCAAGTAATGATGAAGCCGGGTCAGAATGAACCCAGGCGGCTGAATGTGTGTGTCTGCTGATTTGTAGATAACAAAGCCGAGTCGTGCCGCCAGTAAATGAGTTTGTCAAGCAGTGGTCACGAACCTCTGAACCTAGGCGGAACACCTCACTCCAATGGACCGTGAGGCGGGAATCATTGACATTTGGCATTGATTCTGCTGCTGTATCTTTGAACGGTGCCAGTAGATTGATTCTAAGTAGACTAGAGGGAGCACAACAAGGGGGGGTTTTCCAATGTGGAAGGAAGCGCGGTGTGAGTAGGTTACCTGCTTACGGTGGTGTGGTTTCTCAGTTGGACAGTGCCGGCCACCGCAAAGGTGCACCTGGCTATTGCAGAAGGGTCCTGCGCAGGGCAGATGAGGTAGGTAGTTGGTACGAGCTGCGACATCTGACCATACCACCCCTTCGAGAGATCGGAAATCGGATTCATGTATAGAATCAATAAGCAACACCAGCGGTTTCGTTCTACGCTATGATTTTAGACCTCAAATCAGCTTTTGCAAGTTCTTACCGCCAACGTACTTATGGCAGGTCAACACAATTTATCAATTGGCATGGATGGCATGGTGCGGCTGCATAATCAAGTGAGTGCCAGTGCTAGTGAAAAGAACTGTGGCTGACAAGTAGAACAGACTTCTGTGCATATTGGAAGCGACGGGACGGGGTTTGGATATGATGTCATCGCAGCACACCCTTTCATGCGTGATAGGCACTTATCTGTCAGAGTGGTCACCAGGGGATGTGATCCTTATGAGGACGGGACCACCGTACTTTTTTCAGGTCTTGCGTTTATCAGTGGAGAGCGGGCAAGTTTGATGGTCAATGTGGACGCATAAATCATAGCTTTAGCTCCCACTCCAAGTCAAGTGCTCCCAAATGGACTCAATTTGATCCATGTGTCAGGGCAAGGTAGAATTTGGGCTCGCCAGCCAGTTCATGCCAACAACCCCAACGGTTGGTGGCTTATGATGGTTGTTCAAAATGCGCTCATTGACAACTTGGGTGAAGAGGACGATGGCTCTGAGTTGGCTCAGTCTAAAACATGATTTGAAACAGCTTAACAGGTCAGCCGAGTTCGAGATATACTGCACCGATAACCAAGGGTGTATGTCGCAATTGAGCGGAATGGAGGGTGACCCAGGTGCAGTAGTTTTGTTGGAAGGTACAGTAGTTGCATATTCTGAAGGGACAAGGGTATGGATTGCTCTGGTGAGGACGTATTGTTAGATTAGCAAATTTGATGTTGCACTAACATTTCCGGCTCTGACCAGGTGACGAGTATTACCCCGGCGGCACCTGAGGTGGTTTGAGTGCTGCTATCTTTGAAAGTTGCATGTCCACAATGCACGTGAGTCAAATCAACCAAAGAAAGCTGAGATTGGCGGCATCGCGAGTAAAGCAAACTACAAAATGTTTTTAATTGGTGAAGCGGCAAGGTGCACAGCGAGAGGTAGTGAAATGTTTGAGATGGGTTTACAACGCATTGCATGAGGAAATACTCCAAAGGTCAAACATGGTTAGCGAGGGTTTCCAGAGACAATGCAAGTTGCTGTTGGGTCGCGCACACCATTGAGAGTGATGATGCTAGCTGTGGTTCAGTGTGTGTTTGGTATTGGTTAAGGGACATTATGCTTGCAAAAGAGACTGGGAGAGTTTCTCAGCCAGGATAGTACAAGTATGAAGCGTGCTATTGTGGGTTGAACTTGAGGGCCCACGGCTGCATTGGTTTGGCTTCATTCAACTGGTAATCCTTATGTCAGTGAGGAAATTTGAGCAGTGTGAGGACAAGACATACGTGTATGATCCACTGGATGTGCACCTGATTGTAACCAAAGATCATCCCGTTGAAACCCAAAATATTCCCAACCCCAAATAGCTCGAGCCCAATCTCTTGCATGGTGGTGCGTTGAAGGGTGTACTCAACATTGAATGTGACTATGTGTAGGGACTGTTAGATGCCGGTCAGCATAAGCAAGAACAGTGCTGGGGGCAACACCCAATAGGGTCATAGTCACTATGAACGGCCCTGACAATCCACCAACGTTCTTGATGCAAAAAATGGCACGCAGTGACGCGCCCAACGCTGGGAATCAAAGCTTGTGGGGACAAGTAATCATTGTCAATCCTACGATTGAAGGTAGCTGACGCAGTCAACGTGACCAGAAGAGTTGTGTTGCCATTGTGGAAATGGGGTACAAGACTACCACGTAGCAAATAGGCGCCGTGCGGATTGACCTAGGTGTGCATACTGGGTGCCGTCACAGTAACAGCAATGAATTCCGGTTGGTCAAAGCAAACAAAGATTTCACTTTCGTACAGAGCCCTGTGGGTGGGTTGGCTGCGTTGGGACAAGAGCTGGAGGGGTGGTTTCAGACAAAAAAGACAATACTTGGTACAGGAGATGCAGTACTGACACTGCAAACATATTATTTTGTTCCATGGTGAAAAATGATTGACGAAAAATTGTTTCTGAAATTTAGGGCCCAGTTTTAGCCCAAACTTCTTGGAAGCGGATTGCAGAGAGATACAATGCTGTTTGTCCTTGAACGTTTTTTTCAACTTGCTTAGAGTGTTTTACTCAGAAGTAGCTCAGCAAGCAATTCCTGATACTTTTTCTGGTTTTTGGAAGCTCACAGCAGTTCAAAAAATGCAGAAAAATCAGAACAGATCACAAATGCCCTTTGTGATGTTTGGTGATTTTTTCATATTTTTTGGTGCCTTTGTCTTGGATATATGCAAGGTATAACACCAAAAGTTGTTCCTTGTTTGCCAAATAAATTGCAAATGTATTTTGGGTCACCAATGTATCAAACGTGGACGGATTATCCTGATTGGTTTTCCACATAATGGCACATCCTTTGTTGTGTTGTAAAATTTTTTCTGGGTGATTTTGGAGCCTTGTACATATGTCAGCATAATATATATAGTTTTAACAATACACATGTGATAGTATACATACTGAGCCAGCAAGATCCTGAAAAAAACATTCAACAAAGGGAATGCTGTCCTTCACTTATGATTTTGTTTCTGGCTTGGTCTTGTTAATTGTGGAGGCTTAAATGAGTGCGCAAGTTCTGCATTTCTGTCTATCTTGCCAAAAAATCTGGGAAATCAACAGACAGAGTGCTAGAATTTTTCTGTATCCGCCAAAATCTTCCACCGGAAAGAAAATCACACAATTTTACTTACCTGATTTTTTCAGATTTTTTGGACCAATATGAAGCATGCCATTTCAATTGCTGGTTTCAATCATTTTTCACCATGGAAAAATATATTATCTTTGCAGTGTGACTTGGTTGCCTAGCAGCAGGACAGATTGGATGTCAACTGGCATGAGGGGTGGTTCCAAAGTGTTAACTAATTGTGTGAAGATTTGATGAGGCAGGGGAGGCAGACAAATGAGGCAATTTGACGGTAAGGCTGATTTTAAGTAATTCTGACCAGGCAGTGTGGCCGGAGAGGGTATCACCGTGAGAGCACTCATGAGCTGATTTGAAGGCAGAAGTTTTGCCACAGTGGCTCAATTGTGGTGCTGGCTGGGCTGGTCCACGCTGGCATGCCAAAAGTCTTTGCACGTCTTGGACGTGTTAGAGGAAGTCGGCCATCAGCTAACACCATTTGTATTTAAGGAAGCGAGTCACGACAAGGCCTGAAGCGTCAACTGGGGTCATACCTGAAAATTCTTTTTCAAAGCCGGCCATACTTGCCATTCAAAATCAACATCAATCCAGTCCACTAATTTTAAAAAATTTGCCAGGATGGTTTCCGCACTCGGAGTGGGCACATACAAACGCCTGCCAATGCAATGGGCGGGTGTTTTAAATGTAGTGGGCCTGGTGAGTTGTATCCAGCTTTGTTGTCGGCGGTTCCTGACTTGATGTGGTTGGCTTAGCAAGGCTACAGTGGTTGTGAACAGAGAGCATACGACACCATGATTGACTTAGGACGTGCGCCAGGAAAAGCTTTGCCAGTGCTGCTTATTGAGGAAGGCGCGGTGCAGGACCCACATTTGGTTGGGCTCTGCTACTTGAGCACCAAGAACGCGGCGCGCAACTGATCTTGGGTCAGAACCCATCACAGGTTGGACTAGACGGCTCCACACCATTGGGCTCGGCAGGCTTGGCAGCATCTGGGCTGGTCTGGTACTTCGCAATGTCACGGTCTGTACTGATACCTTTGGGGACAAGTGGCGCATTGCCAGCCTGTTGCATAGAGAGTGGGACAGCAGGGTGAGTTGAGAATGATACTTAAAGGCTCTGCGGTTGTGGTTAATTTGGGGCTGTAGTATTTGGATTTCAGAGTTTTCAAAGTGGATTACATTTACGACATCAAAGAATTGGGTCAAGAGCCAGGCTGGTCGGTTTCCATTGGTGACGTAGTCACTTTCACGGGGGAGGTGATGCATATGGTGGGCTGCGGAGGGAAGTGGATTGTGAAGATGGTGGATGTAAAGAATCTGTTGCGACTGTTGTAGAGACGTGCTGTTGCGTCAAAGACGTGCTATTTAGCTATTACATGTATTTTTGTACAATAGGTTTGGGCAAAATTGATCTACTTTTCTTTGCTCTCTGGTCCATGGTGATGAAGGACTATGGGAATCAGACTGCAGCCCACTGTAGTGTATTCAAAAGACTCCCAAAGATTTTATTCAAAAGAGTTCCTCAGTAGTTTAGTCTTGGGCGGCTGTGTTGAGTGCGAGTACGGTAATAGCTACCAGGGGGTGGCAGGCCACCCAGTACCTCATATCCAGTAAACCAAAAGTCACAATGGACCAACTGGTGACCAGGAGTTTGTTGTTTTGCAATTCAGAAACAACAGATTGTAGTATGTAGATGAGGAACCAATTGACTACAGGAAAAACAGCCAATCTTGCTGGGTAGGGTCCCAAGGGTTTGTGATATGAAGTGTTGACAAATTCATAATTCACCTCAAGATGAAGTGACAACTAGCACAAAGGGTTATGTGTGTAATTGTGGTTGCACAGGCAACCTTGCCAGCATAAAATTGATGATCCATTGAAAAATTGAACTTCAGTTTTTTTCAACACACATCATTGTATTCCTGTATACAAGGATCCCATAAACATGGTTTTGAGGTTTGTATGTGCTCTCAGTGTTTTTTTACTTGTCATCACTGCTACATGTGGAAGGAAAGGTTTGGACAGACATAAGTAGAATTGCTGCAATCCTTGAGAACAAAAATTTTGGTCAAGTAGGGTCCAGCAGAAGATAAACTGTGGGTCAAATGTAATAGAAAAAAGAATCTGATCAGCTGGGAATTCTCATTTTTTTCTTTGGAAAAACCTGACACTCAGAATTGTAGCCTGATTTTCCACAACAGGTGATTTGAAGGATTGTGTATATAGCTACTTTGCGGCCTCGCTTTTTGAAAACACATATATCACATTTTCCAGGATTTTGTTGAAATTTATGTTACTGTGTTGAGGTCATCCCCTACGGACAAAATAGATGTGCAAGCTGATGTGTGTAAGTCCTCTATTCATCAATCAATTCCTTTTTGCATAAATTCTGAACCTTCAAAGTATATAATGTATCACGCCAAGATAGTTTCAACATGAAGGCTCCCTTTTCAAAGCTCAACAGTCAAGGCCTTCTAGTTATGAAACTCAAGGACAACACACTTATTCAATCTGTGGTGTGTTGACCTTCACAATTGATTTGGATGTCACAAGAATCTTCTTTGGTGTACACCACGAAGCGACTTTTTAGCGCTGGATGGGTGCCAAGCAAAGGTGAGTCGCTGAGTGGATTTCACTTGGTGGTAGTGTGAAATCCACTCAGCGGAGAGCTGCGTGATGACCACCGTATTGGTCATCACGTGGCTGTGATAGGAATAGTGTCTATGTGACCATACTCTGCCGCCACCTCACAAACTTGGAGAAGCTGGTCTTACACTTGCCGGGTGGTGCTCCTCATGCTCACCACCTTGGCTCAAGTCGCGGTATGACCGCCTCACTGACAGGTCAAATCCATAGGTCTGTGACCTTGTCACCACAGGATTTGTGGCACTGCGTACTCTGGCCTCAGCAACCTTGCAACCTTGCATCCTTGAGAAAGTAGAACATGATGATGTTTCCATCAGTACAAATTGACAGCCTCAATCAATCACATGTTACTCTAGCATTCGTATATGCGTATGATTTTGGAAACATAAACTAAAAGCACTTGGTTCAGGTCAACAGCTCATGCCGCAGTGCTTTTTTAAACTGCATTATTATCAAAGCCAAAGAAAGTGCACCAGCAATTGTTCTGAGCAGCAGCTGCATTTGACTGATAATAAACCTTATATGGCTTCAAGCTAATCAAAGGTTCAGTCAAACACTTTTGATTCTGACTATCCAGTCCATTACATTTGCCCAACACTTCAAAAAACTCCAAAGTATAACTTGTTGCATGTGCCTTCAAGAATGCAGCCAACAAGCAATCCATTTCAATGTCAGGTCCCAGTCATCAGCTCAATACACCAGAATACTACTAACTTAATTATGATTTATAGTTTTTGATCCAGTACCTGGCAGCAACAAGTTTTTAGACGTAGACTATGTAAGAAACGACCTTTTGATGGCTGTGCAAAACATTTGACAGGCATGATCCATCAGGCCAAGGTAAAAGCTGCAATTGAAACTCAAGCACAAAGCGCTATCCCTGTGGTTGGTCTGCTTCCCGATGATCACAGATTGGTAGGCGCAATTGAAGGATGGAATGAACTTGAAAATGAAATACCCATACCTCACCCAGAACAATAGATTGATGCAGATGATGAGGATTGAATTGATATGGTAGGCTGGCTTCAAACATTTCAAGACCAAGTAGCAATTCCGGTTGGAAGTGAACCAAATGAGGAGGATGTTTGACCGTTCAATTGGCAGGATTTCCTCCTGCGTCCGGAAGATCAGGAGGAGGAGGAGGAGGATATTGATAGTGCAGTTGGAATAGAAGAAATTGAAGTCATTCCAATATCTTTTAATGATGGTGACAAAGAGGCAAATAAATGGTACCCTTTCAAGAAGAAGGAGGTGCGGGCTCTACTTACATTAATTTCAGTATTTGCATCACTGTCTACACCATATTGATCTCATTTTATTTGTCATTTCACTTTAACATCTTATGGGGTTGCTTTTGATGGGTTTGGTCAGAAGCACCATGTATCGTGTAGACTATAAAATCGTTAGAGTAATATTCAAGATGGCTGAGGTTCACATACCTAACTGGGAATCTGTCCGACGCATTTGATTTGGACTTTGTGAACGTTTGGGACTCAATGTGGTTAAGACTATGAGCCCCCTTGGAAATCCTTGCTTAAGCTTGGATATACAAGAGATTGTGGCGCAAGTGAGTTTATGTTTTCATATTTCATGAATTGATCAATACATATGAAGCCAACTCTTGAATGCCGCAGGAGATATCTAATCCATTAGTTTGACCACATCTAATATGCATTCCTGAGTCAACTGAAAGCGGAGTCATCAATTGATTATCACAATCGTGGACGTGGCGAGCTGGATTGTCAAAGGAGCTCAGGGTTCAACTGGTCGACTTCAATAATCAACATTTCTATGTTTATGAACCAACTCAACTGTTAGATGGTGGGATTGTAGCACCGATATATTTCTATCAAAATGAAAAATGTATTATGGCAAAATGTCTACGAATAAAGAGTCAAAAAGATTTAGCAACCAGTATTAAAAGAATGAAAATGATCAATAAGGTGCCCTTTGAATCAGATCAATATGAGACCATTGAAGTGAGTCAGTTTGCAAAGTGTTATCCCGATATAATATTGAGGGATGCTAGGCTCTTGAAAGATGCATGTGTTTTGGAAAGAAGAGGTATGGCTTCTTTCGATATTATATCAAAAAGTGCAGGATTATTGATCTGACATTCATTTTTAGGTGGCATTGCAGGAGATGAATACAAAATTGTGGATCTTCCCAATCCATGGCCAAGAAGAGCAAACAGAAAGCTCATCAGACGTATACCAATAACTTTATATTCAGATGATACATTGGGGAACGTGTCGTAGAAATGGAACAAACACATGTTGTTTTACTGCACTTGTTCCGGACTACCACCTAAACTTACAAATCAAGAGTTTAATATGCATTTCATCTTGACATCAAATTCAGCTTCAGCATTGAAACCAGGAGAGTATTTGATAGACAGAATCAAGTGAGTCTGACAAGTAGATACTCCTTTTGCGCTTCATAAACTAATTGCATTGACAATTTCAAAGTCAATCAAACACCACAGGACTCAAGGCTTATGATTCAAAGACTGATTCAACGGTACTGGTCATGATAATAGTACTGTGTCATCTTGGCAAATCTCCAATGCACTCTGAGATAAGTAACACTGTAAACCCAACAATCACATTGAATCCCTGTCGAACATGTCATCTCACAGTTGACCAAATGGATGAGAAGATGACTGTGGAATTTTTGGAACGTTTTGTTGGAGTGGATCATAACGGTCACTCTGTGAGTTAAATATGAATTTCTATTTGTTTACAGAAGTCAATTATTTGTAGTATCTTCTGATGGAAGATAATCTAACAGGTACCTCTCCCTCCTTGTGATTGGGAGGAGACTGCACAAATAACAAAGGTGTTGTGGAAGTTGGTTTATAAGTGTGGCCAAAAAGGACAAACTAAAGAGCTGGCAAAAGAATGGGGAATTTGTGATAGTTTGAATGCTCGATTTATCAAGAGGATTGGCAAAATGTATTCCAGAACATCGTCTCTTGACAAAATCTATGATTGCTGGTTGAAACTTGAGGAAGAGAAGGGTGATTGTCTTTTCAACCCTTTCCTAAGATTAAATGGTATGCCTCTATCTCACTATAAGTGTAAATATATCTTTACAGACCACAATTGAATGGAAGATCATTGATGATTTTGATAAAAATAGGTTTTGATGGACATACAGATACCCCCGTAGAGACTCTACATGTGATGCTCCTTGGTATCTCGAAGTATTTTAACCGAGAAGCTATGGATCAAATACCGCAGTCTGAACCCAAAACTATACGGGGACAATGGCAAGCATTTGATTGTAATGGACTAAGTGTACCACCTATCCAGCCTCTCACAATGACTCAGTATTACAAATTTTTGGTTGGAAAAGAATTACAAGCTGTTGTTCAAGCAGCTCCATTTGTCATTTTTGAATATTTGACTCAAAAAAAAAGGAAGCTTTGGACTTTGCTATGCCACCTATGCGCATACACACTCCAGACCAAAATTCACAATTTTGCCGAGTATAAAGAAAACCTTCAACGAATTGTGGCACACTTTTTACATCTACTGATATCAAGTAATGCTTGATGGTCAAATAAACCCAAGTTCCATATGCTAATACACCTTGTTGAAGCAATTGAACGGTTTGGTCCTTCAAGTCTTTGCGCAACAGAAAAATTTGAAAGCTTCAATGGAGCAGTTCAAGCGGCTTCAGTTCATTCAAATCAACAGGGCCCAGGAAAAGACATAGCCACAACATTCAACAATGCCAGGTTATTATGGATGATACTTCCAGGTGGAAAATCCAAGGACACAAAAAGCAGACTCATGAGAAAAGCTGGATCTGAGGTATTGAAAGTTTTTGATGAAAATCCAGTGATTCATAAGATGCTGGGTTGGGATGAAAAATGAAATGTAGCTTACAAAGTGACAACTCATTGTAGGTGTATCCATTATCATTATTTCACTTCTTGTCAGTTTCTAGAATAGCTCATTTTGTGTAATTATATCACAATCAACAGTTAAAACGATTCTGATTGATGATGATCCAGTGGCTGTACCAGATCATCTACAAAGAACAGGTGATGATATTGAATGGGGTATCATTGATACAATCAAGTTACCAAATTTGCAGAAGGTCAAGATAGATTGCTTTGTGGCGGTGAGTCAAAGGATTGAGGAGTCTTTGTTATTAGAGAAAAAACTGATCTTCTCATGTGAAAACAGTTAGAGGGTTATGATGAAGAAGGAAAGATTGGATGTGTTACCCAGATCTTGGGCAATCGCAAAGGTGGCCAACATGTTTGTTACATTGAGTTAGAAATATATGGTTTAACTACAGATCTTGTAGCTTTCTATGGTATGCGTGGACTGGTTAAATTACCACAAAGAGTCTGGGTGACAGGGAAAGTGAGTACTTGTCAATTTCTCCTTGGATTAATATAGGACATGAATCGAGTTGATACTTGGACTTTAAACAGGCAGTCACATGTGTGTTGAATGTACAACACGCATGTGCTGATGTTGGATGTGAAGTTCCTAAATCAAAACCCAAGATAATTGAAAGAACACTGACGTCAAGTGGTCTTCCACTCACTAAACATAAACCAGAAAACAGGTATATTTTAAATTCTGGAGCATTGTACTCTGCTGAAGTTCACTGTAAGTTGGCTGGGATTTCATTCACCTAGGTATCACCATCAGAATGGACAGAAGGGATTGGCCAAGGTTTAGGTGTTTGGAAAAGTGAACCAAAACAGAAGCATTGAGCAGTTGAGCAACAATAAGGGTAGAATTTGGATGACTAGTAGGTAGCAAAAAAATACAAATTCATTCCACTTGAATGAATGTTATTTGTGAAGAATGATATATCAAACAACCAAGTGTCATTTCAATTATTTCTCTTCATTCTTTATGAGTTAAAATTTGTGTTTTGATTTACAACGTTAATGTATAAATGTTGTACTCAAAAACTTTGATCTGAGAATTCAACATGAGTTAACCTATCTGTTCATTACTAATATCTCAAAATTCCTTACACAAGCAGATGTCAATGTGATTATTGTTTAATTATAATTGGGGTAGGAGAATTTTACACAGGGTACTTTACACCGAGTAAGTCAGTGTAAAGAAGGTTCAGTGTAAAATTAAACATTACCCGGTGCAAAGTCCAATTTTACACATGCTTCATTTTTTTTTATTCCGTGTAAAAGGTTTCAGTGTAAGGAAGTCTGTGCAAATGTCTGGGACCCGGCCGCGAGATTTAATTTTGCACCAAAAGTTTTACACAGATTGAGGCGGTGTAAAATTCTTCAGTGCAAATTTCATGTACCCGGACCAACATTTAATTTTGCACCGGGGGACTTTACACTGACTGAATTTTGCGCCGACACCGTTTACACCGATCGGGTCGGTGTAAATGATCTGTGGTGTAATATTACCACTTTGGGGGGATAAATTGAGTTTAACACCGAAAGGGTTTATACACAAACCAAACGATGGCCTATATATCCCGATGTATATATACTTTGATATACTTTGATTGATCAGATGACGTTACCTGATCCAAACCTCTTCCATTCCCACATATCTATACGGTTGTGGAGGACACGAACAAATCAATCCGCACTTTGTTACGATATTTATTCAATCTTTCAAAATATTATCCAAAATATCCCTCCATTCAAATTGGAAGTGTGTGATTGAAAGTCTTCTTGTAGAATGGGTCAAGGCCCATCACACACTGCTGGAGTACCTCCAGCTGCAGAACAAGAAAACAATCAAGAGATGATTTTATCAAAATGCTCTAATGATAAATTTAAAGACTCTTATTTCACCCAAAACACCCATCAAAACTTCTCTACTATCATTGCAAAACTTACTATATTTCAGCTTAATCACATATTATTTCACCTGAAACACCCATTGAATTTATATCACAACCTTCATCTCAGTTCAACTGAATACTTAGAACTATCAGAGCCAATGTCCGACTCATTCTCAGCAGCTTCATACTCAGCAGGTCAAATCTGCGAGTACTCAGACGGGTCTCAATCTGATAACGACATCAATGTGGCCAGTCCAATAGTTCAAGATACGGTGGTTGAATTTCAGTCTCAACCACAACTACGATTGCCAGTCGATAAATCACAATTTGCCACCTTTGTTGACCATGATTGTGTCATCAACGAACAAGGCTACCCAATATATCCCAATGGGCAAACTGTATACGTCAAGAAGCCCGAAGATCGAGTTATCAACTTTTGCCATATCGCATGGTCCCATACGATGCGAACGGAGCCATCAACCAATAAGAAGTGGATTATACGTCAATACTACTGTATTGGAGTTATGAGATGCTCCAATCCAGACTGTGAGCTTCAAGCTCCACCGCCCACGAACCCCAAGAAGCTTGCTGAAAGTGTAGCATTGTAAGCTTTTATCTAAATTAATCCGTATTATTGCATGCGTAACCTTCTAATCATGATTCTCTAAACAAACAGGCCATGCACTATATCTGGCTGTGATGGTATTCAGGTACACTTTGAATGTCACGCTCGATGTCGAATTGATCAGGAAGTCGATGAGAAGGACCCCAATTCTGATGCTACTTGGTCATTATTGCGTCATCAAGGTATCCACCATCATCCATGGCCTGACTCAAAGAAAGCGGACCCTCTTTCAAAAGATAAGCTAAAAGATAGAATCATTCAAGATCCCAAGACAGGACCTTCGTCTTTAAAGGTACGTACTGTTCTGTTTTGTCTCATTGATCATTAATATCAACGAATAACTAAGTATCCTCTGTGGTACAGGTGGGTCGTGCACACACTGGAACTGAACCTCTCGCCCCGGTTTCCGAAATACATCCTTCTTTCGCACATATCGACCACCTAGGATACTTGCGCCGAGATATCCTAGTAACACATGGTTTGATGAGTGATAAGAATGACCCCGAAGGGGGCAATAAATGGCTTTTAGCAATTGTTCATTGGGCAAGGTAAGTCTCCATTATTACTTCAAACTCATTGATGTGACTGATACTGATGTAATTTGTCACACAGGCAGGGCATGCGAATGGTGTCAGTTTCCCTCTTGCCCGAGAATACCCATATGTCTTTGCAGACTGAGTGGATGGCCGAGGTTCTGGTATATCAAGATAAAAAGAAACCTGAACCATATACTGGCGGCTTACTCTCTGACGTCACCTATCGATTTTTCGAGAGCGGCTACCTCCTGACGACTTCGATGTACAACGAAAAAATTGAAAGATGGGTTCCTGTCCTGCAAACTTGGCTCCACGAACTTAGCAGCAGTCACTACAAGTCTCATTTTGTAGCTTTATTACAACAAATTCAAAAATCATCACTATCTGATGAAGACAAGGGCCTCTTATGTGAACAAGTTGTTGACTTCTCACAAGCTCAACAAGTCGGCTTCATAGACGCTTACATGGAAGTTTTCAACATCTATGATCGCAATGTTGCACTTTCTAAGCTACACGGTTGTGAGCAACACTTTTCGCAGGCAATAACCCGGATTAAGAAGAATACCTCGATAGTTAAGCCACATTTACAGGTAAGATTTCACAACTTTCCATAATATTGAAAGAATACAATTTTACTAATTGAGATGTTGTCATTTTGATAGGGACTTTGGGTAACCTTATGTAAAGGTTTGCTTTTACCGGACAAACCCGATAAAGACCTTGACGCAAGATTTGAAGAGTTGCGCCGCCTGTTTCCAGCAGCCAAAAAATGGATTACCTGGTGGCAATTAGCCGACACTCAAGCGATGTTATTCCCAGCTCGGAAACGAATGGAACTTGATGATCCTCCTTTGGACGGAGAAGAAGACAACAACTTGGAATCTCGTCCAAAAGTCAAGCGTGGCAAGAATACGAAACCTCGTCGCAGAGCGGAATTGCCAGCAACTACCAACGCGCAGGAGTTGATGCATTGCGTCTATTACATGCTCTGGTACATAACCTTTTTTTATTTATCTGTTCAATCATTTAATTTTCATTTCTAATAAATTGTTCATATAATTCATCTATTATTTCGATCCAGTGAGGGTAAATGTACAATGATTGCTGGTATGGTTCAGCTGTTAGCGTTGGCGCAAAGTCTAGAGCAAGATTATAGGGCGGAGAGAAAGGGTATTTTGATTGCTTATGGTTCAAGGAACAAAGGTTGGGAAGATGTCGTGGTATCTTTGGGAATGGTCAGACCAACCAAACGCAAATACCAACCAAACAACAACCGTGCTCCCGATACAACTGAAGAGCTTCTCTATGATGGCAAGAAGACCGGTACTAAAAGAAGAAAAACCAAAGGCCCTGGTCGACCAAAGGGATCTCAAAATATTATACGGCACGCCTTAACAACATACCAATCTTATACGCAAGGAACTACTCCAGGCAAATTGAATTGCTGCTGGCTATCGTCCACCTTGGAATGTCTTTATGCAATGTTTGGGCCCTTATGGGGTCAATTTGCTACGGTCAATGGCTCCAATTTATTCACGGTACTAATGCAACATTTCACTAAGAGATTCAAAACGGAACTTAACAAACAATCATCTCTCAGCAAGGTCCTTTCACAAGGTCAAACGCTTTTGCATGAAGCTATACTAGATATGGACGACTGGGCCAAAGTTGCATTCAAGTTAGATCAACCCGCTTCTGTTGACGGATTTATGCAACGTCTAATGCAGGATGACACACCCAAACAACCTTCTCTTGCTCGGCTGTTTTCGATTCCAATCACCAAGACAGTCGTATGTACGCATGAAAACGCACATGTGGAGAAAGAAACCACCAAATCAAGGAACATGCTTCACATTACAACTTCAATGTTTAGGGATGCTTCAATTGGTTACGAAGACACCGCACTCTTGACAACCAGATGGGCAACTGACGGACTCTTTTATTCAACCGGCCGTGTTTTTTGCCAATGTCATCCATTGGACACAGATCAACCAAAAGATGGGGATCTTGCTACGCTGGTCAAGTGTATCAAGCTCAATCTCACCAACGCTAAAGTGGCACCTTTACACTTGTATTTTCACTTAGATGGTGTTGTGGAACTTGATGCGGCAGAGCGGAACAAATTCATGGATCAAACCGATTGGCCAGCACGTTTTTTGATTGGTGAAGTTGATTATCACATAGTTACGCGTGGATATTGGGCAAGTGGGCATTATTGGTGTAAAGTAGCTCGTTCAGTAGAAGGTATAATGGGAGTATGGCTTTACGATGAGCTTAGGAATGGAGGTTTTGCACAACTAATAGAGCGCAATGTAACTCTTCTGGCCGGGTGTGATCGTCACACCTCCTGGGTATGCTACTCACGCATGCCATTCGAACACGAAATTACTCACATCAAAACTTCAATTATTGGACTAATGAAGAGGTTTCCAACGCGACATCACAAGATATCAATTTCAATGCCAAGCGACAAAATGCCTTTTGGAGGCGGCCTACCTCCTCTCAAAGGTGAAATTGAAACTGGAGTCGAAGAAGAAGATGCTGATGCTCCTACATCTGATTGCGAGGACGAGGAGAATCAGGTTTTGCAATCTGACAATGCTGAACAAGTCAAAGTCAAACCTCCAATCATGATCAAAATGAAAATGCCAAAACTAGTAACTAAAGATGTTACACCTGGTAAGTCTAACTCTTTAACAATTTACAAAATTTATAAATTACGTGAGATACATTTTAACATCGTAGTATTTCACCTTTATTCTTAACAGCAGAAAAGCGCAAGGCTGCTGCTGAAAAACGCAAGACAGAACAAAGTGAGATCGTGGTTAAACCTTGTAAGTCTACTCATTGATCTTCGATTTGAAATACATTAATCAACGATATTGTTTATCTCAACAGCAGCCAAAGAAAAACGTCAGGCTGCGGCTGTCAAACGCAAGGCTGCAGCAGCTGAAATTAACACTTCATTGTCGAAGTCAAACACTGGCAAAAAGGCCACTGCAAGGGGAAGGAAGGCTGGAGCTGGAAAGAAGGCTAACACTGGATAGTCCTTATCATCCCCTATTGTTTCTTCACAACATCATCTCCAAGTAATTATGTTTCCATTTTTTGTTTGTTTCTCTTAATTTTCGCATCCAAATTTCTGCTTCTTTGTTTGTATCATATCAAACTCACATTCTTCAACTCACTTTATATCTATTTCCCTTTATATGCCTTCTTCACGCTCTTTAATTTTATTATTTCCTCCTTATTTTGTCTTTCTCTGGTATGTCCCTTTTTCTCTTTCATCTTGTGTATAGTAGTAAATCTCTCTTTTTCTCTTTTGTGTATAGTAGTAAGGCGCCGTGTTGGTTGTTTTTTTGTGTAAAAATTAATTTTCTTGTGTAAAATTAACGGTGCAAAATTCCATTTTGCATGGAATGATTAGCAGTTTTGCACTGAAGCATTTTACACCGACGCACTTTTGGTGTTTAGGTCGTCGGTACAAAATTGATTAAGACCAGTCAGTGTTAAGGATGCCGGTGCAAAATTCCACTTCGAGCAAGGGGCCAAGAATTTTGCACCAAATTGTTTTACACCGCCTCAGCCGGTGTAAAACTTTCTGTGTAAATTTGTGAGTGTTGGCCGGGTTCAAGATATTTGCACTGACTTTTTTCCACTGAAACTTTTTACACAGAATAAAAAAAAATGAAATAGGTGTAAAATTCTAATTTACAAGGGTGAGTTTGGAATTTTACACAGACCCTTTTTTACACCGAGTAAGTCAGTGTAAAGCACCCTGTGTAAAAGTGCCCCTCCCCATTATAATTTAAATGTCCCTTGATGCTTCTGATATAATTCGTGTTGGGAGCCTTTTCAATTTACTTCAAAAACAATCCCAGAATGCAGTGCTTTCCATAAAGCAGTTTCTTTTTATCAAACCAGACAATTTCAATTGAAAGGCTCCGCTTTTGCCCAAGGCAAGTTGAAGTCATCAAAAGCAGTTGCTTGCAATCGCTCTTGACATACTTCAATTGAATGCAAATGCTTTTGATTGCTCTTGATATTCTGCAATCAAAGACATTGGCTGTCATTTGCACCGGACAGCTGTATCTCAATAGGGTATGCTTCCAATTCCCACCAGGCTTTTGAACTTGTGCTGATATGTTTTTTTTCTATATAAACACCAGCGTGATGGAGTGAATATCTTCATCAAACCATCCCCATCAAGTTCTCGATTTCTACAACCCAGTCATCAGCAAGCATATTCACTCTCTAAAACTCATTACATCAAATCAACCATTTACCATTCTTTTTGTTGGAGGGCAGTGTGCCAATAGCAATAAATTGAATCTTACCCTTTACCAACCTACCATCCTATCTCACCGCTTTCAATATTCAAATCTTCTTTTTGCTGGAAGGCAGTGTGCCAATAGCAATGAACTGAATAAACTCATCAGCTAATCTCCTCTTACTCATTCTTACTTATTCAATCATCCCAAACCCATTGAACCTTTCTAAAACATGGCAAGAAGCAAGTCAAAAAAAATTACGATTACAAAAAGAGAAGTCAGAAGAATCAAGAAAACAAGAATAAACACAACAATTTCAAGTTAGAATGCAAGATCTCATGCAGAAAACAAGTCACCTGCCAATACGGCCTACCCAATACTGCCAAGTTTTTTTCCTTGGATAAAAACACAAAATACACCTCTTCCTTTACTTTGAAGATGTTCTCCCATGGACTTGTGGTGCTGATTGATAAAACATCACCAGAGCTACTCTTGATAGCACAATTCAAAGAATACAGCAAAATGCATCCTGAATTGTACACCCAATTTGAATCTTCAATCTCCACGTTCTATTCTCACGGCATATCAAGGGGGACTGTGAAGAACAATGGAGCCACATGTGGAGTCCATCAACCTGGTGATATGAGAGCTACACCACGGAGTGGTTTTTGAGCAGAAATTTGGTCTGCAAGGTCTGCATGCCGTCTGGGTCCCGAGATGGCCTGACAAGCGCCCAGAAAGGGCCTGTAGGCACGTCTTGGGACGGCCTGATTGGTCGGACTCCAAACCAGCTGCAGGCCCTTTCCGGGCGCTTGTCAGGCCATCTTCAGCTGGTGTGGGCGGCTCAGTCTGCAAAGGAGCAGGCAGGCGACTGGCAGACGTCTGCCAGGTGACCTGAAAGGCGGGCACTCCAAAGAGCGGCAGACGTCTGCCAGTTGCCTGCAGGCATCAGTCGACCTTGCGACTTGATTGCCAGTACAGATTTAGCTGCTCAACCACCAATATTACCACCTTGAAGTGGCGACTTCAATTCAGAATCTCTCCGTTACTTCACGGATCCTTTGAGACTCAATACAAGGTTTTATCAGACTTTTCTCATCTTGATTGGTGATTTTTTTTTGTTTTTCATCCTCAAAGAACCTCCGCTGACTTAATTGGGTTTTCTTTATCCACCTTTGACTGGGTGTATTGTTTTTTCTTGAATTTGGTAAGTTTCCTTCAAAGCACTCTGTCTCTTTTACTGATCTGATTGGATATAAATCTGATTTGAATATTCCTTTTTATATCTTATCTCATATCACACTTCCTCATGTTCCATTGTAATAAATTGGATAGAACAAAAACAGTTTAGAATCTACATCATTTAACAAGATCATTGAAATCATTCTGGATCTCCTCCATTTAAAGTAGCCTGATATTATAATTGCCACTATCAGCTTATACAAATTGAACAAATCAGAAAGATTTCCCTCATTTAAATCAATTCAAACAAGATTCTTTTGCTCTTTATTGAGAGTGTCAAAATAAATTCAGATCAAAACAAGCAAGAGTAAAAGATTTAAATAATTGAAAAAACTAAAAAAAATAAATCAATAAGTTGATGTGAGGTTCAGAGTCAAAGTTGCATAGTCATTCAACAAGCAAGTTATTTTTTGATAGCATTACAAGTAATTTATTGACTGATTTATTGATAAGTGCTTGTGCAGAAATGGCTCAGACTACTCAGGATAATACCTCAATGTAAGTCATCAAAGCTTTTAATTCTCCTTCAAGCCATTTCTAATTATGATTTCATATTTAGTTTTTGAGTCCATCTCCACAAATCCAGCCAAACCACTCCATAGGTGCATTGCGTGTCATGGCAGAAGTATGTTCAATTATGAAAGGCATTCGACTTCATCGGCACATAAACAAAATGTTGAGAGATTGTTGGCTGAGCAGGCAGATAATGAGGAACTACTTGCTACAATTTCACACGCACCAGCTCAATCTTCTCCAAACAATGAGTGGCCTGAAGATGCTATGGGAACGGATGACGAAGCGGATAGACTTGATGATTCAGTATTACAAGTTTTAGAACTTTTAGGACCAGCTCTGTCAGATGAAGATGACTCTTCCGACTCCAAATCTGAAACTGAACAACGACAATTATTATATCAAGCACTTGAAATGTTGAATGATGAAGACCTAGATGATGAAGATGATCCTGAATATGAAGCACTTCTGGATGCTGAGTTAGCTAAAGTTCATAAAGAAGAAGAGGCTAATGGCTGGTTTCCTTTCAAAAAGAAAGAGGTCATTCAATTTCAGCTCTTTCCTCCAAAATAATCATTGTTTCTAACTTTTCATCTGCTCTTCTTCACAGCATGCTGTTGCAGTTCTGATCATTGGAACAGCTCGCAACCTGTTGTCTTGATCACAGTATCACCGCACCCGTGCAATCGTCAGGATCTGCTCCGTCTATCTTCCCGAATAGGGTGTGGTCCGAGCTTTGAAAAAGAGATTGAAAGAAAGGTTTGGTCAATCAATTGTTCAATGTATGAGTCCATTGGGTACTCTGCTCTTTGGACTCAAGATTGAAGATATAATCCGACAAGTGAGTTTTGTTAATAATCATTTGCAAATTCATTACAAACTAATCCAAGAATATCATTCTCTTCAGGATTTGGCAAACCCGTTTATCAGCCCCCATATTGTCACCATACCTGAACATACTGCTGGAACTAGTATTCCAATCACACGTCTCTCCCAATCATCCAAGTGGCTTAAAGAATTTGATCGGGAAATTTGAGCTCAAATGGTTGAATCTCCGATTGGTCATATTTACATCTATGAAATTTATCAGTTACAATCCAAGCATCTGGTGGTTCCAACTCATTTCCTTCAACAAGATGGAAAACTCTTTTGTAAATGTCTTCAAGCTAAAATAATTCCTTGAGATGATCATTTTAATTAAGTTGCAGTTCACATTCCTGAGGAGCCGGATTCTGATTGACCTTCATTACGCACCATTGAGATCAGTTTGTTGTTGAATTTTTTTGATAAAATTGTGATAGAAGGGTTAGGTTTACTAAAAAAACGCTCTCAAAGATAAATTCGTATGTCAGTTCGATACATTTATCATTGATTTAGATTCTTTTTACTGACACAGTCTATTTTCATTTACAGAGTCCAAGGGCCAAAACTTTATTACACTCCCTCTAGTCAACCCTTGGCGATCTAAAGCCGATGGGAAGATAATCAAACATATTCCACTTACTTTATACTCCGATGATACATCCAGAAATGTATCAAAGCAATGGAATAAACATATGAGCTTATTTTTCACTTTGTTGGGTTGACCGCCGGAAATGACAAATCAATAATATAATATTCATTTGTTGCGACTTCAAATAGGGCAAGTGCACTTGGACTTTTTGATAATGTGGTGGATGAATTGAAGTAAGGTCTCTAATTGATTTGTAAAATTCAAAAGCTGACTTTGTGATTCATAGCCATCTTAGTGAAGTTGGATTTGCGCCTTTGACTACGCATCCGGGAAGGAGGTTATGGCTATGGTTGTAGTTCTTTGGCATCTAGGGGATTTGCCAATGCACGCCGAAATCTGTATTACGACAAACCCCGCAATCACTCTCACACCATGTCGAATTTGTCCGCTTCAAGTATCAACCATGGTAGAAAAGAAGACAGTAGAATTTATACGTCAATTTGTTGGACTGGATTCAAATTATGAACATGTGAGTCATGTCTTTTATTCACAGAGAATTGAGTCTGATTCTTCCTTTTTGTGATGTGATGTGTTCAGAACGTTTTGCCCAAGCGTGATTGGGCAAAGACACGCTCAAGGACTGTCGAGATATGGAAGGCAGCAGAAAAGCCAAATTCAAAAACACTTGTTGAACAGATGGGCCGGAATTATGTTATCCGTGATTCAACATGTGATCATTTTATAAAACAGGTTCAATCTGCTTATCAAACAACACCACGTGATGAAGTTCAAGAGATATGTCGGAAACTTGATGATGAACTGGGAGATCATCTGTTCAATCCAATGCTTTGCCTCAAAGGTAAGTACAATTTCCTTCTTTCTTGAGTCTTTTCAAATAAATAGCACTTACTTTTGATTTGTCAGGTTTTGATGGTCATTTACACCGGTTGAAATCCTTCATGTGATTTTACTCGGAATTGTGAAGTACCTATTCCGTGACACAATGAAAGAGTTGTGCTCCTTGACACCTGGATCCAAAAAATATAACGACCTTTCGGCCCACTGGCATGCTTTCAATCTCAATATTCCTCTGATCCAACCCAACACCTTGATCCAGTATTCTCAAAGTCTTGTTGGTAAAGAATTTCAAACTGTTTTACAGACTGTTCCTTTTGTCTTGTTTGGCCATCTGTCTGCGCAAAAACGTCATCTTTGGACATCACTTTGCCTTCTTTGTTCTTACGCATTTCAATCAAGAATCACAGATATGGACTTGTATCTCAATGAACTACAATCTCATATCAGTCTTTTTCTACATCAACTGATTGGAATCACCGCGCAATGGGTGAACAAACCAAAGTTCCACATGCTGACACACTTACCTGGATCAATCCGACATCTTGGAGCCGCACCTTTATTTGCAACCCAAAAATTTGAATCTTTCAATGGAGTTCTGTGATATGCTTCGATTCATTCTAATCATCAACGTCCTGGAATTGACATAGCCAATACCTTCAACAATTGGGAACTCTTGAAAATGTTTACATCATAAAATCCGTTTTATGATCAAGAGCTTGACGAGTATGTCACTGCGGGACCTGAATTGATTACAAGATTCCCCAAACACTCTGAGATTCAACACACGCTTGGACTGGATCTGACATCAAATCAACATTTGGACTTCATTGCTGGTAGTGAGTACATCATTGTACCTCATCGCATCTATTTGATCAACATATTTTTTCTTCACAAACTGATTGTTCAATGCGTAATCAGAAGAAATTCAAGCCGCCTCTCAAGCTGCTATTCCGTCTCATTTGTTAAACGTACAATCCGACCATTCATGGAAAGAAATTGTAAGCCTGACATTACTCAACAAACAAAAAGTTGAAAAGTGCGACTTCGTTTTTGTAAGTTTTTTTCATAGACTATCCACAATGTACAGATCCATGTTCTGAATTTTGATTCCAATACAGATAAAAGGCAGTCCCCGCATTGGTTGTGTTTAATCAATATGGAAACCGGCGGACAGAGCAGCTTTGAGAAGCTTGCTTGTGGTCAAAAAGTGTAATCAAAATTGAGTTATCCTGTTCTATGGTATGAGAGAAATTGTGATTCAAGAAGATCTTGTATGGATTGAAGCCACGGTAAGATGCTTCGCACGGGTTTTTTGTACAGGTGGTTAATTGCTTTTCTTTATACATGATTTGGGATATCGATTGCATTCTCAATGTCCAACACAACTGCCATGAGGCTTCATGCTCTGTGACAGATAGCCACCAGAAAAGAGTCGAGAGAATTATGGTGTCACAATCAAGCTACTCCATCACTCACAATCCACTGAATTCTTATATCATCAATGCAGGCGCATTATACTCCGCCGAAGCGCATCAAAGGGCATTTTCACTTGAGATAACAAGGCTGACTCCGGAACAGTGGAAAGAAGCTGTTTTGAAAGGCTTGGAAGTTTGGAAATCTGCACCACCACCACCACCCAAAAGCCTGAAGAAGAAAACCACAACTTAAATCTGATCTCAAAGCCCCAGTAAATTTGAGGAAGTTGATGGAGCACATTTCAAGTTGTTGTGGATCTTTTGTCTTTTCTCAATTACTGTTTTGATCCCTGTATTATCCTTATGATCATATTATTGTGAATGAACACATGCATTTCACACAGCAAAGCAGGTCCTTATTGAATTCATATTAAACTTATAATATGATGTTTTTCTGCATTCTATCATGCAAATACACAATCAAAGGTATTCAGAACAATGACACAAAAAAGCAATTCAAAACCAAAAATTGTTTGTTTTGATAGGTTTTTTTGCACCAAATCAAAGCAATTCAATTCAAAGCAAATTGATTGACATTGATTTGATTTGATTTGAATTGTTTTGTTTTGTTTTTGAATCAATCAGAAGTGACTTCTTTGATTTGTCAAGTTCAAACCGATGACTGAGGGTGAAATTTCATTGCCATGTCACAAATGATGACATGTGATTTGGATGTGTCTTGAACAAAATATGATCAAAATCAGTCAGATTTATTTTTTCTCCTGATCGTCAATCTTTTCTCTTTACCATCACATCTCAACATGCCTCCCAATTCCAAAAAACCTTCTCAATCCAACCAAAAACCTTCTCAATCAACTCAAAAACCATCTCAATCAAATCCTAAGTTGGCCCGAGGTCCATTGAAGCTATCAACAATACACTTGACTCTCAACAATCTGGCCTTGACAACAATCAACTTCAAGGATCTCTGATTGAAAAGAAATCCAACCCTACTGGTAAAGTCCGACAGCAATCTCGATCACCATCTCCTTTGTATTATGATCAAGACGAGCCAAGTGAAGAGGAACAAATTGAAAGTGAATATGAAGATGATCCAAAGGACTATGAACAAGAAGAAAATGGAGATGGAGATGGAGAAGAAGAAGGAAATGAAAATGAAAATGAAAATGAAAATGAAAATGAAAATGAAAATTAAAATTAAAATGATCAAGCGGAAGAAAACAAAAAGGAAAATGAAGATGATCAAGAATTAAAATACACTAACAAAGATTTCGATTTTGACAATAATCAAAATTCAGTTCATTCACAATCACATCAAGGACAACATTCACCCAGTCGCTTCACGGATTTTCTTGTTAGTCTTGGTGAGGATCAAATTATTGATGGAGCTCATATTCAAATGGCCCGGGCTATGTCAAGTGTAAGTCACTTTAAGAAGGATGCAAATAATTGGTTATACTGATATCGAGTTGTAGGTTGAGGATCCAGAAAGGCGTGGTATTGCAATAGCTTTGTTTCTATCTAAACTTCATCAAGATGTTATGAACGGTCAAGCCAATCTCCGCCAAGAACTCATTGATTGAATTGACACCATCAAAAAAGACCTTCAGGACCAAAACTCAGGTGAAGTGAACAGAACTGCATCAAGTCCTTGTCACTCAAATCCAAAAGGGACTTGGGCACCACAACATCAACTCAAGAAATGTTCTTTTATATCACAATTACAACCATATGCTGATTCTGTTATCTTTCAACCAAACAGAAATTAGCTTCGCAGTTGGCCTGCAAACACGTCATCACATCTGAAATAGGAGCTTACACAGCTCTTGTAAGGAATTCAAGTGGGAACATCATACCAACATCTCTTTTCAGGATGATCAAGGTACATACAAGTTTTTTTTTCAATCAAACCAACTTGTACTGATGCTTCTTTGTCCTCTATACGGAAATCAATCACTGAACAAGGTGTTCCTTGGTGTAAAGAGCATCTTCCCCCAAAACATCTTGGTTTGGCTTGCACAGCCAATACCCAGACCTTCACACGCCTGGTCAGGGATAAGGCAAAGCATGCCCGAGAAAATTTGCATCTTGCGGTAAGCAATCCTCATCCTTAAACTGATATCTTTACAACTGACATCAATCATTTCTCCACCTACTGACAGGTATAAAACCTCCTCATAACAGTACAAAATATAATCGGTTGATTCCCGATCTCTGTACCCTGGTTGGCTTGGTTTGTCTATCTGTACTACTAGGAACACAACAAGAAATACACTTACCACTATCTGTCACAGATTGTACCAATTGGTAAGGGGGAAGATGTATCAAAAACTAATGAAGAGCTTTGGAAGGATGCTGATATGCTTACCCAAACACGTTATGCCTACCTGGTAAGTTTTTATCATTTCATTTCATCTCATTCTTTATCTTATTTGACTCCTCACTGCTTCCACTTACAGCGGCGCGAGTGCCTCCGAATCTATCACCCAGCCAAAGTCACCTCAACAATCTGGTTTGAAGTCGCAACTTGACTGTCTTCATTCCAAAGGGCGCCCGTATACCACATGGTGAGTTCTTTCTCACTGTCTTTCTCATATGTAAGTTTTGATTACAGATTACTGATCACCTTGAACAATGATGTGTATGTAGTTTCTACAACATCATCTATTGACAGGATCGTGAGCAGTTTGATTGTGGAACTGTCATGTATGATGATATCCCAACTGCCAAACGATCATTTGATTTGCCCTCTGATGAGGTGGTTGAGGCTGAAATTCCTTCTTTAAACTCACGCAAGTCTACGAAGAAGAGACAAGGTTGAAAACTTTTGATTCTTTTGAGTCTTTTGTTTTCTTTTTCCAATCAAAGAACAACCACGTCTTCAATCGTCAAATCCTTTCAAATATGTTCTCAGTTTCATTTCACATCTCTTATCATACTTCATGTATATTATCACCTTTGTACATTACATTATCCTATTAAACTTACCATGCTATGAATATACACTATTCATTTGTTTTGATTGTTCAAATCGACTGTCTGCTAGCTGAAATTCAAGCCTGGCAGTGGTCTCACCGGTTGTTTTGCTGAGCCATCAGTCCACCTGCAAGTGGCCTCAAACATCTCACAGACGGTATCTCAAACCTCCACAGCTCGTCTTCAGTCCACTTGAAGACGGGCTTCAGATGGTATCCAACCGGCGGACTACAGGCAGTGGAACTGGAGCCCTTCCTCAGATGGTCCGTCCGCATATTAAAAAAGGCCTGTCTATAGACGACCTCCATCCTAGTCTCAAGACGGGCCAAACCACTCCGTGGTGTATGGGCTGGCGCTCTGCAGCTGGTGTGGCAGCTGATGTTGGAAAAGATGTTGGTGAGTTTCATTCGTTGGTTACTTTTGTAAACGGGCTGAGCACTGACATAACATTGCATAGGCTACTACACCCTCAACCAAGGAGCATCCAAATCAGAGAGAAACATCTGGTTAGATGTTGAACACAATTCACTTCTTCTCCTGCAGGCCAAAGAATTTTGGGCAGAAAGATTCTCAATTCTCTCTATGTCAGCTTTTTCCGCCAATTCCCAAATTGCAGCAGAGGCATGTGTACCCTCTTTCAACTCTCCTGCCTGGGAAACATCTTCTAATACCAAGGTATGGGCCTCCAGTGTTGCCACTATGCGTGACGATTTAACTAATAAACCCCACGATGATAAGGACACCATACCATACGCTGTTGGAATGTTTGCCACAGTCAACAGAGAAACTGGAAAGCTGCATGATTTGATTGAGGAGCCGTGTGATTGCAACATTGAAGGATCTATCTTCTCTTTATCAGACTATGCAGTTGGGATCAATCTTGATCACTGTAATGGTTTCATTGAAATGCTATGGAACATTCAAGTTAAACACTATACCCTCAAGTCAACTACCAAGAGTAAATCAACAGGAAAAGAAATCATTCCATCTAAATCAGTCTTGACCCAGTTTGCATCTTCTTGCTAAATCTCTTCCAGGTTGGCCAATTTGGGCAAGGCCTTCAAGCTGAAGAAGGACAAGATGTCAAGAAAAGAGTGGGAAGCATATATCAAAGGCCATGTAAAAGGGTATGATCAGCAGGTATACGTCAAACTGACAAGCTCTCAAAATGAAAGATGCTTAAGAGTTTATTTAGTTTTGTAAATAGATTTCTTTGCAACAAACCTTTGCTTTTTTGAACAAAAGGCTCTGTATCTATTCAGTCCCCACAACCAATTAGTTATCCCAAAAAACAGTTGTGATCAGGCCTTGAGAGCAATTTGATTACGGTTCCCAAACAAGGTGAAACCAAAATTGACCCGTGGAGTGAATTTTGAATCTATGGTTTCAATCTTTTATGGCAATTACCAGGTCACTATGAAATTGTAAAACAACATAAAACCCGGTTTCAAAATCACATTGGTGGAAAGTCTTCTTTAACATCACCACCACCTTTTTCAAGAATGCCACCTGATGGTATGATTATTCAACCAAAACACACAACTTGGAGCCTGTTTGGTTGCCAGAGATTATCGTATACTACAGTAAAAGTGTACTGTATTAATTGACCTCAAACTACAGAAAAAGTTGCAACTCCCAATTAATCGCGAGTGGAGAGGTAATGGGTGGTTTTTAGAGATAATCGTTTGGTAACTCAAAACCACCAACAGCCACCAACCCTACAATTGCAAACTAACAATTGAAAGGAATAATCACAGGATTGATTCAAGAGAAAATGACGTAAGAACAACTTTGGTGAGTTCAATCAAAACACAGTGCTATAGAGAATCAAGCTCATGCATTGTACACCACAGGTCTGGTGGCACGTGACGCTCACGTGAGATTTGACTCTGCAATTGAAATGCGTGCTGTCTACATTGTCATACCCGACGTGAGTTACATGTGCCAGCCAGCGGGGCCCTCACCCAATCTGATCACCTTGCTAGAGCGTGATAACTCACCTGATGAGCGGGTGAGTCATCTCATATCATAACAAGGTGACATGGCTCACTCAATGAACAGGTGAGCTGACTTGCCTTGTTAGAGTGTGAGTCAAGCTTTGTGATGACCAGGTGTGAAAGCTCACACGCTGTGGCAAGCAAAACACACTTCTCAACCCTTTCCTTTTATATTCACAAGACTCCACATTTCAGCACATTTTTTTTCTTCTTATCCTCACATTTGATCAGTGCTGCTGAAACTTTACAACTCAGCAAGGAATAGTGGTAAGAGCATTTTAATCTTCAAATTTATTTATTTAATTTAAAAAGAATCATAATCATATTAAATCAATTGAACTCAACTGATAGTACATGAGTCAAAAGAGATTATACAATGTTAAATTTAAAAATAAAATCAATAGAAAATCAAGAGGAAGAAAAATGATGAACTCAATGAAAAGGATTGATTGATTCAAAGTTGAAAGAACTAAATGCAAAATCAAAATTGAAATAGAATAAAAGAAAAGAAAAGAAAAGAAAAAGAAATCGATTTTGAGGTCTTAACTTGATATTAGATGAGAACCTGATGAATATTGAGCAAGGACTAATTGATATTAAAAGATCAAGACTGATCGAGTAACTTATACAAACAAGAGTTGGGATCGAGATCTAAACAACAAAAGTTGTGATGAGAAAGTGGAGAACGGGTGTTTTGACATTAGTATGCAGGGTGAAGAGTAATGAAAACAAGATAAAAAGAAAGACTTACCTATATAATGATTAAAAATCAAAGGTACGTATTGAATTTGGAAATCAAAATTAAAAGTGAGCACTTGATTGATGGATTGAAATCAAAGCAAAAGGTCAGAATCAGAAGGGAAAGAGCTAGATCTTAAGTGAGATGAGGATGGAGGAAATGAATAAAGGAAGATAGTTTTAATGGAGTGAAGAAATAAGATGTCAGTGGAATGAAGTGAAGATGAGATGAAGGAAAGAAGACGAGAGGAGACAGTTGACTTACAGCTGACTTAAAACCAAATATCGAAATCGATAAGTTGGGAGAATGGACAGAGATCGAGGTCAAGATAGAGATGAGCAGGGAGTAGGTGTAGAGCTGTGTAGAGTGGTTGGCTTTGATTGGATTGGATCGATCGATTTATACCTTAGAGAATGGAAATCAACTGAAGAATACAGCAATGACCCATGAGAGCCCATGAGTGAAGGGGGACTCACTGGGGCAGTAGACAGAGTGTAGGGAGATCTCTGACATGTACCTGTGACGTCATACGTTTTGTAATTATATATGGATTAATGAAAATGAATGGAAATAAAAAACATTGTTCCAAAAGATGTCTTCAAGATGCATGAGCTGCCCTGTTGCAAGTAAACCTGAGCCATAATGAGTCATACGAGGGAGGACTGTTCATGTGCTGAGCACCTGATCAAAATTCAATTGCCTGCTGAGCACCTGGGTGGTTAGCTCACCTGCCAGCGAGGTGCTCAGCAGGCAAATCAGCTTATACTACCGGCAAGCAAGCTACATCACATGCTGAGCACCTCGTTGGCAGGTTGCGCTTGCACCAACCAGCTCACCCACTGATTGGCTGGTAAACCACGCCATGCCAATGTGGTCTTTCTCTCAACATGTAGAGCAGGTGACAAGCATTGGGTGAGGGCCACGTAGCCGCACTCACGCTGCTTTCACCTGTTCCACACAAGGACTTGGCGTGGTCATACCCAACTTACATTTCACGTGGTCCCAGTTCAAAGTTGCGCTGTGGTGTACTCTTTAAGAGATACTTACTTGTTTGCTGGTCAAAAGCTTGTTTTGTCTCTACCTCTCTCATTTTACATGCTCAATTGTCTTGTGGTCACTTTGTCTCGCATAAGTCTCTTGTTTATCACCTCACATTTTGTATTGTTAAGATCATGTATATCATCATTTCATCTTTGTACAATGCTGGCTTATCTCATGCATGTAAAACATCACCAGCTTCAGGTGATTTCAAATCACAAAAGTCTTCTCAACATATCTTCAATTGCTGTGGTAAGATTTGAAACCGATCAACTGTGTCTAATAAATCATAACCTTCATGAACCTGCTCAATGAGGTGGGGAAATTGAGGAAGTGATTGAAGATGTGATAAGTTGAATCTAAAAAAGCATCAGACAGAAGATGAGAATTGAGATGAGTTGGAACAAAGCTGAGATGAGTGTGTCCAAAGAACTGATGAGGTTGATCGGAGATGCAATGAGAGCAACAATAAGTTGAAGAATTGATGCAGTGATAGAAGTTGATACATACCGGAGTCAAAGTTGAAGAAGTCTTGATTGAGGTGATGTGAGGTGATGTGAGGTGATGAAGATTGAGATACATGCGTTATGGGTGGTGAGCTGTGGGAGGTGAGGAGGTGAATTTTTGACAAGTACCCTTATCACGTACGGAATTAATCCAATAACAATCAGAATAAGCAGAAAAAGGGGTTGATAGAATTAATAGAGATTATGAGATTATTGAACACATAATGTTGTAAGATAATCTGTGTTTTTGGGCTACCAAACAATGAAAAAACAGTTGCAATTACTTTGCTGTGGTATTGGCATAATCACAGTAAGATAATTGCAACCAAATGTGAGCCCTTATCCATTTGACTGATTAGCCCTTTCACCATTCCTTTGTAACCTTTCAACTCATCATTCCAGCTTCTGCCTTCCCAAGCACGCGGTAATTGCTTTGATCCTTTACAAGGCCGTCCTGGAAATCCATTTGCACCCGGTGGATCTCATGAACCCCATACTGGGGGTAATTTTGTTTACTTCAAATTCCATCTTGATCTCATGTGACTCACCATGTCTTTTTCTCTTATCTTCAGCGGGATCTTTTGACCATCCGCCTTCAATGCGTATTCCGGGCCAGTCAATGGCAATGGTGATGGTCCTTGGAGTTGTTCTCAAAGCCCTCCTGGTAATGATTTAGAATTGTTCAATCATCCCAATACTCAACCTGGTTTGGATGGTGGTGTATCACAAACTTTGATGCGTGCAATAGGACTTGATGATGAGCGCCGTGCTTATGTGTTGGCAGTGATTCAAGGAAATAACTTTTGACTTTTACTTGAGTGTTTTTGTATTAATAAGTTTCCATCAGTTCAATTTTAATTCAGGCAGCTAAGCCAGGGGATGAGCTGACCGTCTTTGTTGCTCTCAGTGCTGGACTTGACCAGGTGATACAGCAAAATGATCAAGTCAAGCAGAAGCTTACCATCTGGTTTCCCTGCAAGCAATTCAAGGTAAGTCTTATCATCCAACTCCTCTTACTTGTTCTATTCTTCTAATCTGATGAGAGATATGATCCAACTGATTGATCTGGATCAACAGGATCATCATCGTAAATTTTGTGCCCAGTTGTTTCTTGAGCCTAGCCTACAAGCTTTTTCTAGTGTTCTTATGGATGCACCTAACGGTGTCAATGACCGCCTTGGGCGTAGGGTCTTGGTTGAGTTTCTCCAACTAATTCTTTTTGTTTGTCAAGTCTTACTATAGATTGGTATGTCTTTCAGGATAACCTTCTAACCAATAATGTCAAAGACATAAAAGATAATCTTCCCAAAGGCTACATTGGCGATGACGGCTCACAGAATGCAGCTGCAGTCTCTGTTGCACTGAAGGAAGCTGAAAAGAATGCTCAAAGCACTTTCCAAAAATTGGTAAGCTGTTGACCTTAGTGCATCTCCTATTGTTCAACTTGATGTTTTTGACTGAAGTAATTTTTCTCATACCTCCACAGATCCTCCATCATGTTTTACCCAGCAAAGGAGTCAATGCAGACTCTATCCAACCAAACCTCAGGGATTTCTGTGGGCATGTGCATTGAATATCCCACTTTCCTGGTTGAGACCTTGTTCACTAATCACTCCAATTTGAAACAGTCCTTTAGCTCATTTGCAAAGTAAATGATACAAAGAAACACATTAGCAATACATCTATCTTTGCATCAATGAAGCCTGCTCAAGTTCTCAGATTTACGCACCTGGTGATTCAATTACAACAACCCTTCTTTGGATTCTTGAGTTAACTAACTTTTTATATGTCTTTGTCTTTGTGTAGAGACTTGCATCCGTTTGTGTCTATTCAAAACCTGCAAAGGATTTCAAGAGTTCTCAATGGTCAATTATTGATGAGAGCCTTCTGGCAATCAAGAATTCCAACTCAATTGGGCTTGAAGAAGCGTAAGTGACTTTTTCATCTTCTTCATCAACTTCTCAATATTGGCTGATATTGGTGGTTTTATTCTCTTCTCTATTCAGTTTTGGTTGACTGGTTTCAAGGACCATGCAATATTCAATGGAACTCGTACTTATGCAGTTATTGACAGACTGTTCGCCTGCTTTGGTTCTTCCTACTTCAAAGGAGGTGTTTGCAGAAGTGAATGCTCCCTCTAAAGTTCCTGAATGTCACAAGTCTCAAGTGAAATGATTATATATGTTACATTTATTATTATTGATCCACAATGTTCACATTGTAATATTTTATGTCAAGGGTCTCTTACTGTATTCATTATTCATGTCGCAATTAATCGGACAGATCTTCTTCAGTGGCTGAAATGAATATGATTGCATTTCAATTGCTCTTTTTGGCTAGTGGAAATACCTTTCCTGTACCAATCAATTATGGATTGGTACTGGAGAGGCTTTTTTTGGGTGCCTATAATCAGCGATGCCACGTTGCAATCGTGTGGTGACCGTGTTCCACATCCTTTCAGGCTGGGATTCACGGTGAGGAGACCTCAAAGGGAAGCGGGCATCAAGGAACACATCAACTCTTGCTCCTGATTTCAAAGTCAACAAAACATAATCAGGACATGCTTGGATTGGGATGAGATCTTTCACTTACTTGAAAGTATTGAATTTTGAAGCGTGGATCAAGGGTAGTTGCACAGATTTGACCTGGCTTTGCAAGAATATTCTTGAAGTATTCTTCAAGCTTCACAATCATTTTCTTGGATGCAGGGACTCATTCATTGTGATCATATCTCTGAGCCACCTGAATCTTTTGAATCAATGTTCTTGTTAGGAATAGTGATGAGAATATAAAGATAAAAGAAGAAAAACTGACTGATTTCAGGCCTTGAATCACTACAAGGTACGTAGGAACAGCTTGTTGCATTGTTGGAAATTTTGATTGGTACAGCATCTCAGTTGCTGCATTAAGTGGTTGAAGGAACAATCACACATTTGCTGTACATAGTCCCACTCAGCAGGTAAAAGTGCAAATGTTTCAAAATCTTGGGTTTTGCATATTTCATTGCAAGCTTGACGTGATTAGAGGAGCCTTTGCAGCTTGTGATACAATTGCTTCAATTGAGTGGGGACATCAGGCACCAAACAATTGGCTGTGCCTTCACAAGGCTTCGGGGCAGGCTGATCTCCTTTTTTGTTGGAATCTTGCATCATGTAATCTACGGCTTCAAATTCTTGATCATTTTTGCCAAGGGGAGCTGGAGTTCCAATTTGATTGGGATCTGGTTCAAGGGTGTTTGCAAGCTGTTGAACCATGGCTACAACGTTTGCAAAAGCTTGTACACGCTGTAGACTAGATTGGGTTGCCTTTAGCAGCCCATTGCTCCAAGTGTAAATGGTTGCAAGGTTGATTGGTAGCACATCCGGAGGGTCAACAAGGTTGCATACATCCATTGAGCGCCATGGAAGTCTGCCTTTGCCAAACTCCTTGAGGCCTTCTCTGGCTGAGGGGTTGATAACATGTGCACACAACCGTGCACTTGTTTCAAATGACCAAAGGTGATGTCAAGTAAGGTTTCAAGTTTTTGACCAATTGCAGTGTTTGTACCAACATTGTCAGCTGTCATTGCAGATAACTTCTGGATGAGGTTGATTTTTTTCAAATACTCCTGAATTATGTTTGCAGAAGTATTTGCATCATGAGGACCTGGATAAAAAAAGGTAATCGTATCAGAAAATATTACATAAACAAGTCAATTTCTTGGAATAATTAAACTGGCTCACCCTGCATCTTGGCAATTCCAAGAGTAATGTCCATTAATTTCCAATCGTTAGGAGATTACCAGTGAGTGACTCGAAGGGAACATTGTTGGGGAAGTCCAAGTGTCTTGTGTAATGGTGATAGCTGGGGACACAGACAAGTAGCCGGTTTGGAACATCATCTCAACTTTGGTGGTATGACATATTTTGCTAGTAACTGGCCCAAAACATCCTGATAGCAGATGGATGTTATGCTGAAAACAAATTGAAGTTCTGTTAAACACATTTTTGAGACATTGGATGTACTGGCCTGCCAGCGACCAGTAGGTGGGGGCTGTGAGTTAACCTAGTTTGTTTGTATTGTGTTTGCACCTTGGCTGATGCCCACTTTTTGACTCAAGCGCCAGATATCTGGCAGGTAACCCGCCCGGGGGCTGGGAGGCCTTTTTTTCAAAAAAAAACTCAATTGGGGACCCCCAAACTGGGTCAGGACATCTTTTTGGCAGTTGTTTCAAAGCCCTGGCTGGGCACTACTTGACAGACAGTGTTTGAGGCTTGAGCTGAAGCCGCATTGCAACCAAGATGCCACACCATACACTTTTGGAATGTTTGCACGTGCCAATATATGGACTGCAAGCATCCATGACATAGTCATGAAACCCTACAACTCACATCACAGGTGCTATCTTGTCTCTACCAGATTATTCAGCTGGTATCAACTTCGATGAATCCAACAGTGTTGTTGAGATGGTATGGAACACCAAACACTTCAAAGTCAAGTTAACCACCAAAAATTGATTGGGCCAGAAAATCTACCCATGAAAGGCACCATTGACACAGTCGGCTCTCAAGTATCTTTCAAATTGGTGAATATGGGAAAGGCCTTCAAGCTAAAAAACAAGAAGATGTCAAGTGTGGAATGAGAATCCTACACCTAGAGGCGTGTCAAAGGCAGCAGATGAAAGGCAAACTGGACAAGTTGTTAATTGGATGTCTTGTAGAGACTTGTGTCAGTTTCTCCCTAAGCTTTTCAATGAAGGCCTATATCAACCTTGGTGACCAAATTCTATGCTTCACTTGAAAGACATATATAAACAACTTTATGACTCAGTAAAACCCAAGGTCTTTCTTTGAAAACCCAAGTGTATTCTTTTCTCTAAAGTCAACAACGTCTTTGCAAAAAGTTGTAAGTTAGAGCAAAAGACTTGTTTCTGTAGTCTGGCTGTCCTACCAGCTAATTCATGGGTTACAAATTTATTGGTCTGACCATGGTCAGCTGACGAGTTTTGTGATATGTACCGGTGGTACTAGTTGGGGTTTTTGAGTTTTGGGGCTCAGGGTTTCTTATATACACAATAGCTATTGTGCCAACTCTTAGTCCTCCTCGTCTAGAAATTTTATACTTGATCCCAAGACACTCAAGTAATCTTAGGTCTCCTTGTAATTGAAAAGTTGAAAGAACAAATATTTAAAAAATGGAGATGTAAAAAGGATTTAAAAACAATAGACAAAAAACCAAAGACAACTTCATAAAGCATATTGAAAATTGAAAATTGGATCTGAAAAATTGAAATCCTAGAATTGAAAGTGTAAGCTTAAACTTGTAAATTGAGACTTGTGAATTGAGAGATGTAAAACAAAACCCAAAAATTCAAAGTTGAAAATTAAAAGTCAAAAATTAAAAGTCAAACATCAGAAGTCATAAATTCAACATTACAAATTAAAACACAGAAAATGAGAAGTAACACTTACAGCTTAGGATTCAAAGAGTAAAACCCAAGTACTTATGCACATAGAAATCATACACTGAAAATTAAGTTGACCTCAATCTTTCTAGATATCCGGCCCGTAACCCCAACTTGGAAGCCCAAGTCAACTATGACTTGGAAACTATGACCTTGTCTTTGACTTTCATTTTGACTTGGATTTTGACGTGGACTTTGCGCCTTGACCTGCACCTGCAATACAACTTTGTTCTGCAATTTAACTTGAACCTTCACTTTGACTTCAATCTGCACTTTCAATTTGAACTGCAATTCAAACTCAACCCCCACCTTGGCTTTGACCTTCACTCTGACTTTGGCTGCTACTTCCCCCTTGACCTCTACCTGAACTTTGACAAGCTGCTTTTGATGTACTATTTGTGAAGTTACTAAAGAGGAGCTGGGAATAATAGACTTTTCAACCTTTGGGCAGAAGATCAATGCTGGTATTGAAGAAGCCGCGAAAATTGGTATCAAGAAACTACTATTCAAGAACACAGAACATCTTTTAACCAGAAAGGAGTTCAATATTCACTTTCACTGGAGCTTCCTTACCTGCTTCCTATCAGGCACATTGTGATTTAACCAATGCACAATATCTCTTGGAATCCTTGGGTATCATGGCCAGCCCTTGAGAGGGCTGAAGATTCAACCTGTGATTGATACTCAGTCTCATTAATCAAAATCTTCTAATTCTTACCCGGTTTCCCATAGCTACTGTTCATTGGTTAGAGTTATTCACATTACAGAATTTGTTCCCAAAACCAAGACACACATGCAGTGTGAGCTTTTCTGATCTTCTCAATCAATCTATTATTTGGGTTAATATTTGCAATCCCTCTGTGTGTTATGGTGAATTGATTGTGCATCCTGTTCTTGATAACAGTGTCACATTATGGCACGAGGAGAAATAAGAGATATTTATGCAGGATGACTGGAGTTGAGATCCTTAGATTTCAATTCAATGTCTTTTCTTATGTGGAATGGTGTCCTCTTTTTTTCTATTTCTTTGTTATTTGAAGTTTGATCCTCTTGCTGTACCTCCTCATCATTCATTTCATGGCCTGAAATGGAGTTGTGTTTTATTTGATAATTTCATCTCCTGTGTTGCTGTTCTTATTCCTTAAAACGGTTTGCAAGTTTCAAATTTTTATACTTGTATTGCATTCTAATCAATATCCAAAAAAGGCTTGATAATTTTAATACAACAACCAAAACAAACAATCCATTCAATAAACCCAATGAAATTTTGGTTTTGATAAGACTACAATTTCTCCTGTGAATTCGAGTGAGGATGAGTTTGAACTTTGGGAAACACTGTGAAGTTGGCTTTGTGGTTTGATTTTGGCATTTGAGGAATGATGTAAACATATTAACAATTTTTGGTGGTCTAAAGTAGATAGAATAGGTGTTTGGAACACATATTCAGGTATTTTGTTAAACACATCTTTGTATTGTTTCAAATGAGGTCCTATTCATGGTAATTCACTTGAAGAGATTGATAACAGTTGACTTGAAATTAGAAATGGGCTGAAAGCACTAGCTACAGTCTGTCACACATACCTGATTTGTGAATTGATGAAGGGTTCAACAGGCCTCAGCTGCCTATTTAAACCAATTTAAACCTCAATGAGTGGCTCATCTGCGCAATGTGCTGTGATATGTGATGTTCAAAAGGACAGAAAAATGCCCAAAAGCATTCACAAAGCGAGCCCAATTCAGCTGAATCCAATCCAGATTGTTTGAGAAACTTTTGACTTATATACTTCCCACAGTTGTTTGTCCCAAGCGTCCAGTTCCAGTCAGTTCCTAATTCTCATTACTTTGTTACTCGATCTACCAGACTAGTCATTGTTTACAATTCACCTATAAGCTCTCCAATTAACACTTGGATCTCAAACAACATTCTCGTGAGGATCATCTCCAAGCTCATCCAATCAATCAGTCTGCTTTACAATCTTCTCTCATCTCAGTTCTGTTGTCAATCATGAGAAGTATGATCATCTCACACCTTATGGGACCATTTTTATCAAGTTTAATTACTGTATTCCATACCTTGTTGCTGATAGGATAGGGACACAAACATCCTTGGTTATGACGGGATTTGGTTACCTAATGTCAGATGTTACAAAGCTGTGGTCTTGGATGCGTACTTTTCTCATCTTATGGCAGCAAGTCAGAGGAAGGATATGAACATGATGACCTTCAAGGAAATATCTAACTTTGTTTAAATAACTTGATGTTTTTCCAATGCCATCATACAGCATGGATCTAAAAAGTGATCAAACAGCAGTTGTAACTGAGAAGAACAATCAAGACCAACACCAACCAAAATATCACCCATCCAATCATGCTAAGCGGGCTGAGCAGTGTGGTGATTATAAATTTCAACAACTCCGTGAATTGATATCTGAGAAGTCTGTACACCAATCAATTGCCAAATTTACTTTTTGAAAAATATGGTATTGGGAATATCCCTGAATCACTTCAAATCCAAATCAAGTTTGGTAACTCAATAAATTTGGATGCAGAGACTTGGAAGGTAACCCAGGTAAATAACTTCAGCCTTTTCATCCAAGTAAAACCGGAGAACATGAGAAAACTCAACTTGACTATAAAACTATCTATCAACACACTCTTGCTCAAGGTGAGGTTTTGACAAATGGTGCCATGAGAATCTTCTTCCACTAGATGACTTATCTCCAATAATTCTCAGGAGCTGATATATTCATTTTCTGATTCATAGGTCTCATCTATGTTTCTTCAGGTGTTACTGCTTTAGGACCAAAAACTGTACGTAGCAAGAATGCCATTTGCAATGGATGAGGCACGGATTCCGTAGATGGCAGCAATCAGTGACATCCCAGTGCGTCATTGGAATCTTTGTGTCTGACTGTGTATCAATTCACCTACAACCTTGCAATCAGGTAATCTGTACCTTCTTTTGCCAATCCAACTTGACTCAAGTTGCCAAATGCAAATGTGGTTCAATCAAGCATTGTTTTTACTTGCAATGGATTTAACAACAATGCACATTGAGATGAAGATACCAGTAGTATTTACACCTATGGTATCTTTGCACAGATCAATTGCAAAACTGGTGAACCTCACTGGGTAGCAATGCCAGACTCCCTTGCTGATATTGAAGGATGTTATTTTATACTGGATGAGTATTATTTCAAATTGGCTCTTGAATCATGTGATATAGTCATTGAGAGCTGCTAGGCTTCTGATCAACTTCATCACACATCTCAATCGATACAATGAAGGGTGGACACCTATTCCACCACAGGATTCTTCAATTGGTTGATTTGGTTCTTCTTTACCACGCAACAAGGTATTGGTCAAGCAAATTGAAGGTCTATTGGAATTGAAAGTGGAAAAAGTGAGGATGAATGGGAAGCAGACAAAGAAAATGTGGTGAAGGGTTACACTCAGGAGGTTGAGATCAAGTTGAACAAAATTCATAACCCTTGACAAAGTCACCAAAGACAAAAAAGAAAAACTTGTATCAATGTTTCTCTCATTCTGTTGTAAACCTTTTTCTGAATTGTTTCACATTGTAGTCAACTGTGGTTTTTCACACTCTATCATCAAAGAGGCAATTATTCAATGATGGTGTGATTGAATTCTTGCTAAAGATCCCTTTTTGTTCTTTCCAAAGATAATTCTGCTGCCTTAATTTACTCAAGCTCAAAGAAATGTCTTCTACACAGACACTGAATGATTGAGTTTATGGCGTTCAAGCAGCTTGCAAAGCGGTGCCACTCATTCTCCTTGAAGAGCTTCATGGCAACTTCAGCTGAGTCGTCTTGCCTGATTGAACCCCTAGAAACTTCCACAAATTGCATGAGCTTTAAAAGAGCAAATAGGCTGTATATTGAAAACAAGAAGCAGTGTCTTACTCGGAATGGCTCACGTGAATATCAGTTATGATCCATTCAGCAGCGTTCAACACAACAATCATCACCTTACCATCAAGATCATCTAAATTTGAATTTGCCAATGTATACATTAATTGATGTGCATGTTCACAAGGTTTGCAAGCTAATATCATCTGTTTTCAGCTACTCTCCTTCTTTTCTCGATTTTTTTTCATGACAAACAAAGAGTGCTGAGTTTTCAGGGTGTGTTTGAAATGTTTGAAAGGATTCAGAGCCATCTGTGTGAGGGTGACAGAAACTCACACGCATGGAAATCACAATGCTTCCAAGTCTTTTGAAATATCAGGGCTTGCAATGCCCCTCTGTTTAAAATTATAAATCAGCCTTTGAGATTTTGCAAATAGACAAAGACAATTACTTGGGTTGGCAGAGTCATAATTTCCATAAGCACCACTGGAAGGATTCATGTGTGTTGTTGTTGTCAAAACTGAGCCATCCCATGCTTATTTCTTTGTTGATTTCCAACTTTGGCAGAGAGTTAAAGCCAGTCAAAGTCAAAATCAGAAATCTGACCAAACCCACCATCCATGGCTCCCCAGGATTATCCCAATCAGCTCAGAGAAGGGTATCTAGGGCATTGAAATCATTGCTGACAGGAATTGGCTGTATCATTGGAACAGTTACTGAGGAGAAATCATTGGATCAGCTGTTGGAATTGAGCAAGCTACCTCTCACATTGAAATTTCACATACCTGTGACACCAATAACAGAATGAAAGTACAAGTCTGTACTACGTTTCGGATGTAATTCTTTAGAATCTGAGCCGTCCTTATCAATCATAACTACTTCTGTCAACAAAAATGCATAAATATGTAAGGTGGACACATTAATCTATTGGCTAGACCTCACGTTGTAACTCCTGGGTAGCCCCCATTGATTGCTTACAAGTCATGGTCTGATCTGAGGTGGCCTACAAACATCAACATCACTTTAGCTCCGAATTGGACAGAAAAATCCAGAAAGCATAATGAAAACCAGTCCACCAGCATATAGGATAAAATCAACATCAGGCATACAGTTGGTGTTGTCTGAGTAAGTTTGTTTGGATTTGCGAACGGTGATTTGGATATCTTGACCTCCATGATCAAAAACCAAAGTCACTTCAAAAGCAGAACAACAGTGGGATCGCTTCCTTCTTCAATGTGCATAGTCTACTGTATCCTCCATGATGTGCACATACTCAGTAGCATTGTATATGACAAAGATGCCATTGGGATGATGTCCTTGCTTCCTTGGCCTTTCCACAGCTTCAAAAAGGTTACTATGCTCTGTGCAGATCATGGGTTCCCCTTTGCCCACATATTGACAGAAACTTCCCCACCAATGGTCACAGGAGAGGATTGCAGGTATCCCTGCAACTATTCAATCTGGGGTGGGAAACCTATTTGATGCTGTTGTTGCAAGCTAAGTGTGAGATTCTGATGTTAAATTGGAGAATCATGATGGTTTGTTGAAATTGACTCCTAGAAAATGAGTAGCAATGTTGTGTTCAATACCAGTAATAATATGGTCTGAGTTCTGGATCTGGTAGCCAAATCTGATTGAAAAAGAGGTATTGGGTTGAGCATATGGCTCAAGTGCAATTGTTGTCACTGATCTCGAACTGATGCCAGCTAAAACAGGGTTTTGAGAAGTAGTGGAAGAATGAGGCCGGCTGCAGGATAAGTGACCTGTATTGGCATATTTCTACATTTTGCTGCTACTCGCTGTCAGTGAATTCCATATATTGGCTCCAAGCATGTGTCCTTGAAAAGCTGACTCAAAGGCTTTGGATGTGGCTCACTCAATTGTTTTCATCACATTGGGTGTGGTCGGACAATGACAAGCCTAGCAATGTGTTCCATTGAGGTAGCCAGCTTCTGAAGGAAGATTTTGTTCCAGTGCGGAGTTGATTGTTTGCTAGTTCTAAGAGCACAGAGTTTCCC